TTGCAGGTCTGTCATGGAAGTGCAGAGAGTAGCGGTTACTGCTCTACTTTTGCTGCTGCAGTTCAACATCTCTTGTGAAGATGCAATTTCTGGAAACAAACAACCAAACATCGCAAGTCGACTGCCACCTGAATCTCTGTGTGAAGGTGATACCTGCCATGTTTCATCTCCTGATGACTTCTGGTATCTACAGAATATCATCCACTCAAACAGAGTCATCATATTGAATGGACTAAAATTTAGTGTAGATGAAAACAATGGCTTTGTAGTTGTTGAGAATGTGTCTAATTTGACAATATCTGGTGGAGAAAGTGGCAGTAGCATTGAGTGCTCCCCACAGTCAGCCTCCTTTGGCATCCACATCAAGAATTCAACAAATGTTACACTGACGAGACTTAGGATCACACACTGCGGTTCTTCTTTTCCAGAGCACCTGATGCAATGCTGCAGCACTTCACTTCTCATCGAGGCTTCAAGAAGCATTGTTCTATCAGAAATCCACATAGAAAATTCTCTATATTCCCTGGCTGTTGTGCTAAATGATGAATACCCCGAGAGCCCCTTCTTTTTCAGTAATAGTGATAACCCCAGTCTACGACTGACCAACTGTACCATCTCTTATGATACTAATGGTATATGGGTACATGGGATAACATCTGTGCTCATTGAAAAAACTGTCTTAACTGTCACCTCCATAGAGTCATACATGGCCGATATAATGATCCAGGACGTAGATGTCATTCAATCAGAGTTTTCATTAGAGGCAGGACGTGTGATGATTAAAGAGAAACTGACAATGAACCAAAGCCTACTCATTATAGTAGGACAGGATCTTCACATCCATGGCAGCAAAATCCTATTTTATGAATCAGAAACCTCTTTTAGAAATATAACTGAGATGTCTATTGTAAATTCTTCAGTTGTGTTCAGAAAGTACTACTCCGCTCTCTTTAATTCCAGTGTCACAATAAAACACTCTGCCGTGACCTTCACAGAGAGTGAATACGGTTGGTCTATTCGCGACAGTCAGATATATATGAAGAATGCATCTTCTCTGGTACTCGCGAACAATTCGCCAAGAAGTGAGGACTATGGCTTAACCTGTGAGACAAGTTTGTGGAAAATGTCACCAGATTCTGACTTATTGGTGACTGAGAACAAAAGATTTCCAATCATTTTCAGCTCCACAAATATTTCCCTGAGTGGAGCAGTGAGAATCGCCAACAATGACAACAATAATACTTTTTTCGGACCAGTTAATTTGTTCACCTCAACAATACGGTTTACAGGGAGTCTGGAGGTAGAAGGTAACAGTGGTGGAAATGCTGGGGGTATCGCTGCAGTGAACAGTGACCTTTTTCTCTCTGGGAGAGCCACGTTTTCAGATAATCATGGTTCTAACGGAGGAGCAGTGATACTCAGTGCCTCGTTCATGTACATTTCTCCCAATGCTTCCGTGGACTTTATCAGGAATCAAGCGCAAAGGTTTGGTGGAGCGATATACATCTCTGATATGCGACCAAGATACATTTGTGGTTTCAAAGGCATGGTTGTCTCATGCTCATTACGAGTCGATCCCTCATCCTTTCAGGATAATCCTTCTGCATGTCCGTTGTTCTCACTAACTTTCACCCAGAACAGGGCAGGTGTAGCTGGCAATGCCATATACGGAGGTTATACATCCAGTTGCATAGTCAATCACTGTGAGTGCCATATCCCTAATGTCACTGAAATTTTCCAATACAATGGAGTGAACGACTCTTCAGATCTCTCCAGTTTCACTTCTGACCCCACCAGAGTCTGCTTCTGTTTTAATGGTGTTCCAAACTGCCATACTTCCTTTAATGGTCATATACACTACCCTGGAGAGAAGTTTAATCTCTCTCTAGCAATAGTGGGATATGGTCTGGGTACTGTGCCAGGATCAGTGATATTCAGGAACAACGCAAGTGAGGGATACACCACTGAGCCAAATGTACTTGGTGAGTGGGCATATTCCAAGGAGATAAGAGGAAGGGAGTGCCAGGATATGGAGTACTTCGCTACGTCTGAGAAAGACAGAGAAGTTCTTGCCTTTGCTGTAGACCCTGAGTCCTTCACGTTTTCTATAGATGATACCTTTGCGGCATTGCGGAGTGTGCAAGATCAACTTCCTGTCCGATTTAATAAGATATCATTTGTTCAAACTTTCTTTCACATCCCTGTGTTTTTAGAAGTTGCTTTTTTGCGCCCTGCACAGATTGGTTCCAACTTTGAGAGCTCTGTGTCTGTCACCAAATACTGCTGGACAACACAACATTGACACTCTGCTACTTCTCCAATGGTGCATTCATCCTGAGACGTGCCCCCTACTGGATTGGACTACCCAACAATAAAAACTCCTCCATCTCATCCATCCTCAGTGCCCCTTTGGATTACTGCAAATCAACAGACCTAACATCCTGTAGATGGAAGAGTCGACATCGCTATATACGCTCAAGCCTGTTATACCTGTGGTAATTTTCGCAACACACAAACAGTGCAGTACCACCGATCAGGAGTCCTGTGTGTAGCTGTCGTGAAGGCCTCAGCACGATCCTGGGATCCTCAGAGTGTAAGATCTGCTCCAATGTCTACTCCTGTCCATCGGCATCTTCATTCTGGTGGTGGGCTCTTCGTTATCCTGCTGACCCTACTGAACATGACGGTGTCAGTTGGTACTCTGAATGGACTCATTCTCTTGGCCAACATCTTGCAGCCAACAGAGCCACATTTCTACCACCAAGTGCCTGTCGCACCAGTTCCTAACTACATTCTTAGTGTATTCATATCGTGGCTAAATCTAGATCTAGGCATCCTGTGTGCTTCTTCGATGGACTAACAACCTACTTCAAAACATGGCTTCAGTTTGCGTTTCCTCTCTACATATTGACATTGGTTGGTGCCATGATCGTTGCCAGCAATTACTCTACACGAGTCACTTGGCTCCTCGGGACCAATACGGTCTCAGTCATGGCAACTCTTATCCTTCTCTCTATGCCAAGATCCTGAGAATCCTCATCACAGCTTTCTCCTTCACTACAATCACGGGGTCACAAGGCTACCATAGTGTGGTGTGGCTGGCCGACGGTAATATCAAATACTTTGAACCCAAACACACCGTTCTCTTTCTAGTAGCACTGTTCGTGCTCCTGCTCTTTGGAGTACCCTATACAGTCACTTTGACTGCTGCTCCCTGGATACAGAGGTCGAGGTTCAGGCGGGTGTCCTCTCTGTACAACAGGTTCAAGCCTCTGTTTGATGCATACATGGGTCCGTACAAAGACAGTTGTCGCTACTGGACGGGAATGCTGCTGCTAGTGAGGGTTGTTCTCATAGTCCTATTCTCCAGCCTTGCCAACACCAACACAGTGGCTGGTCCTCAACTGAGTCTCCTTCTTCTCGTTCTCTCCTTCTCTGCCCTGCTAGCTCTCACTACAGCCATCAAACCTTACAAGAACAGGCTACTGAATGGACTAGAGGTGTTCCACCTCTCGATCCTGTTGATGTTCTCCTCCTCAAATCTCTATGTCTCAAGCATTGGCACTGGAATTGGAGCTCTTGGCTATGTTTATACGATACTTATTGGGATCTGTTTCCTTGTGTTCTTGGAATCTGTGTAGGACACGTCTGGTACAAAGTAAGGAAGGCTCGGACTGGAAGGAGGCCAGAGCCACCAGAGATAGAGGAAGAGGAGCGATATCCTCTGTGGCACAGAGCCAGGATTCGAGCTGAGGACGAGGAAGAAGAGAGGGAAGAGGTCACACTATCAACAGCTGGGGCCGATATTTCAGATGGAGGCTTTAGAGACTCGGCTTTGGACCTGGCAAACCTAAACTAATGAACGAATCAGATGACTGCTTATTGTAATTAAGGATTCATAATGCAACTTCGTAATTATACCATTGTATGCCATAGTGCTTCTGATAAAGGAATCACAATGCAACTGATAATACTCAACCATACTCCATTGATTGCACATCTAGAGCACTGGGCGCTGGGATTTCTATGTGTAGGGTTGGCAAATCTCACATGATCCGCGTACAAAACGGCTCCAAACTCGGCGAGAACGGCTAGCAAAATCTTGCAAACTAAGCCAAAGTCACTTATATTATTCTCAAAAGCATCATAATTTATTATGTGCATTTAATTCTCCACACGAGAAATCGCTCATACCCAATTTCAGGGTTATAATTTTACTAAGTTAGTGATAAAAAAACATGTCAACTGCAATAATGACAAACAGGAGAAAAATAGGAAATTAACTGTATGTAATCAGGTATGCTGGGTATGCCTTGTCGTGGTCGTAAACGACATACACTTGACTACGCAGTGGGTTCTCTACAACACCATTCACACTGTCATATGAATCAGTGGGGGAGTCGGGAAGTCTCGGTGGTGCCTTCAGTGCTCTGTTAGGTTTAGGCAGGGGACACTCCTCCCAGTGAGCACACGAGCGACAAACACCTGCCTGTTGCCCCGGGGAGTGTGGAAGGCAAACCGGCTATCGCAGTAGCTTGCCTTGACTGCAAAGTAAGTCCCTTTGCCCCACAGACAGTCTTCCGATCCAAATCGGAAATCAAAACCCTTCTCCGACGTGATGATACTGGCGGGATCAGTCGCTCTTGTCCCGTGAAAAAGAAGTCTCTCGTTGACTTTATCGCTGCCGTTTTTTCGGCTCATGAGAGACTTGAAGAAACTGTAGCGTTTCCAGAGCAGCAGGTTCTGGATACGCGTTATCTCTACCAGTCGCACACTTGGCAGACTCTGCCGCAACAAATCTTCCAGTTCTCTCCACTCTTCAGTTCCCACTGGGACAGCTACGGTCAGGACGGGTGACCTCTGTCCCTGTTTCCAGTGCTGAGGTAGGGCAAGAGGCATCTCCATAGCCAATGGAGCTATCTTCTGTTGGAAGACCTCCAAGAGATGGACCTTGACTGCAAATGTGTACTCCCTCTCTCCCTCCAGTTGTAAGTGGCGTGTAGGAGCTCCAGGAGGAGTACCGAGTGTCCCAGGACTGGTTAAGTCCACAACAACTCGGGTTTTTATGCAAAACTGTCTGGCTATGTTCACGAGAAGACACTCCAAAGATTCGGCGATATTAGGGGGCATGGAGTATATCTGCCTGGTCACTTGGTTCTCGAGTAGTGTGCTCAGGGCAAGTTCGATCTGAGGCCAATCAACCCTCCTGCAGCGAACTGCAAGAGTTAGCATGCAATCCCTTGATTCTGAAAGAGGTGGGTTTCGACACAGGAACCACCTGGATCCGTTGGTGAAGTCGTGTAAAACCATGGGGTTAGAGAGTGTGTCAAAACTCACCTGGCTCTCCCCAAGCTGCAGGAGCCCCGGTGCTCCATAGTGGACCGCGAGGTCTATCTCCTGGCTCGTGACTGCGTCAAACGCTCGACTGAACGTGGGGCTTGCTGCACTCGTCACGCTGGCACTGTCGCTATACCGCCAGACAGGAGGCTCGTTGTCAATCTTACCAAACAGCTCACAACCCTCCTGAACTACAACCATTCTCGAGAAGTCGATGCTGTATTTGATGGAATCGAGAGAAAAGCCAACCGTACCGTTTCGGAATGGATAAAACTTTTTGTTGAGAAGGCTATTGATGGACGGCGGGAAATTTCTCTTCTGCCCAGAGGCATCCTCATAGCGCCAAATGCGACTCATCTTCATCTCGGCAAATCTAGACACCTCTGATACCAGTAACAAGTTATCAGAGCTCCCACTTGGCTTGAGACTACTTATGTTGGCCACGAAATCTGGGAATGAGATGAAATCTCCTGACGTCGTAACAACCGAGATAACCACACCAAATTGCTCGTGTATTCTGTCAACCGCACTGACGACAGGGGGGGTTATGAGAAGGGGGATATTACAGCAGTGAAGTGTGAGAGGCTGTGTAGATATATCCTGTGACACTGATTGTATTAGAGTCAGGAGATCACTCTTGGCTCCCTGCACGTCGCCTCCTCCCGGAATACTGGAAGACAGTATCACGCTCGTCATACAGACAGTGCATTACGACATTGTGGGTCGTGGAGACGTGCAGTAGGTCAGGACGGAGGCTGGTAGAGCGTACTACACCCAAGACCAAGGGGTCCACGGTCACGCTGTAGCATAAACAGGGGTTAAATGGCGTGAAACATACATGCATTAGGGCGCCCCGAGTCAGGGCCCCCCTAATGGGGCGACTAGTGCCAGAAAACATGCTGCAAACACCTGATCTTATCGTCCACAGTCACAGCCTCGACCTTCTCTGCCATAATGTGAGAAAAGCGCGTGCGCGTAGTGAGCCACGCCCATTTTTGCTTATCGCGCGCGCGAACGCCCAAATGGGATGTCATAAGTTTATTGGTGATCTGAACCAACAGGGTTTTCGTCATTAGGGGGTGAAGAAGGTGGAAGCTCGGAAGAAACTATTCCCAAAATCTCTTCAATTTTATTGTCTGAAAAACGTTCATCAATCTCCTCTATTATCTGCATAAAAACAACAGTACATAAAACTGGATAAATGTGAAAATTAGATCAGCTCACCAACTGCAACTCAACTTGAGACATCGGCCTCAGATTCACTAGTTGCAACTTTTCTGCTCTGAATATACATTGAAATTTGCTCAAATTTACAACATGAGCTATCTTGTCTAAGTAACTAACTTTGTGAGATTGAATGGTGCAATTGCCTTCAAGAAATTCTCAATACATGTTGGATTCTTGAGCAAGCAAGAATGAAAAATAAAACATGCAAATACTACACCGGTATATACCTGGACAGCAGCCGGCGTCTTTGAGAGATATTCTGTAGTCTGAGGAAAAAAGATTAGCTATGCAGGCCAGTGTATGGTGTTCTACTCACCTCGTAAGTGACGGTGGCCAGGTTTTGGCCTCGTCCGTTGGGTCTTTTCCCTTGAGATTTTTGCTGGGACTCGGAGAGAAAATCTAAGACCTGCAGCAAAAATTCAGAATCAAGAAGCTGTAACTATGCTGAGACTTAAGCTCTAAGGGTGTGCGTGAGGCTTACCTCGAAGTTAGAGAGCATCCCAGCGTTATCCTTGATTCTGTTGACGAAAGACACAACCAAATACACGTTGCCCTGTACAGAAGACAAAAGAAACTTACACTTGCATGACCGTCGGATGCGTATTCGAGTTATTGCGCACCACAGCATAGTGGGAGGGGCTCGAATAGTAGCTAAAACCAGAAAGATGGAGCTGTCCGGACTCATGAGCAGAGCAACCTCAGGTCTAGGTTAGTGGGGTATTATTATACTAGAGCCTTCAGATAGCTGCACGAATAGGCTGGTGTTTAGCTAGCTAGATCGCAATATCGACTATAGCTACTTCGCAGCCCCACCCCCTTTCTTACAGATCGGAGGGAGGTGATGGACGTACTCGAGGGACAACTCACCACGGATCTTCCAAAACCCGTGTCCAAGTGCATCAGATTATTCCTATCATCAGATCTAACAGGTATATACACAACTTTAGAATGTGCTGTGTATATATCATGCACATGGGACATACCTACCAATTCACACAGACACCAGTCACGAGAGAAGAATGCTGAAAGAGAAGGTTTTCCCACATCTCCGGTCGTTCAGTCGCAGTCTGGGCCTACAGCTCCACGTAGTTGATCTCTATGACAACCTCCCTGCTGGGTGGTTGCCTCCTGTAGCCAGCAGGGGAGAGGTAGAGGAACAAGAGGGAGAACGAGAAGGAGAGAGGGAGGGAGAGAACCAAACTGGACAGGAAATGGAAGGAGGAGTGGGAGGAGGGAGCGAGGTCATGTGTGGCCTTGAGCTTAGAGGCCTGTTTCAGTTGGCTCTGAGTGAGATACGCACCTGCCAGGACATGTCAGCTGGCCCAACCTTCATAGTAAGCATCCTACCTATACTGCACTGCAATGCTCTATACTCGACTTGCTCAGAGTCTGCTGGGACAGAAGTATGGACACAAGCCTCTCCCTCCACACATCCCCGAGGAGGAATACGCTCTGCTGTGTGGTTCCATGGAGGACTCTGCTGACGAGAGGCAGCTGGTGCAGCAGTGGTACCAGTTGGAGTCTAATGCACAGCCTCCTCACTACGAACTCCTCCAGCCCCCACAGAACTGGTGAGCCTAACAGTGGATCCTCTGACAAAGGACCCTCCAGTTAAAGGACACTTAGTTCTGTACCGAGTGAGGGACACCTCTGAATAAATGCTTTTGATGTCCTCGCGGTGTCCCTTATTCAGAGGTTTCAGTGTGTAGGCTTCTCTTCTATACCTTCCACAGTCTCAATAGTGTGTGTATCCACAGCAATGAAGACTGGGTCAATACACAGAAGGTCCTCTCGACAACTCTTAGGAAAGCTGCTAAAGCTGCACTCGGAAGTGATGGAAGCAGAGCCCAGAAGTATATCATGTCAGGTACGATAGTGCAGTAAAGAAGTAGTTCTCAATGTGTTTATAGCCCATACCTGAGAGTAATGGTATACCGATGGTTGTATCTATGCACAGCATCTGAAGCGGAAGTGACTGCAGGCATATTTCAACTGAGAGCTGATCCGAACCAGTGCTGTCTGTGGAGCAAGAGGACCTTCACAAACCTGCTGGAGCAGCGGCCTGCCGGAGAGCCCGCCCTGGAGCTGTTTTGTGACCTGGTGGGCGGTCGCAGAGGACCGGAATTTGACACTGAGGCTCTCAAGTCTCTAAACTACTTGAAAGAGGCAAAGATGCCTGCAAAGTACATTGGGTAAGGCTCCAGACGGTGTCATACTGTGTGTGAAAAATGCATAAGTACTGGCTGTGTGTAATAGTTACGACTATAGCTAGATGAGTTTTTACTGTCTGGTAAAGATCTCTCATCGACTCCAGAGCTAGTAGCATGGTGAATGTTTAGAATATTTTTTGTAACATGCAGTCTTGATGCCAGCAATATCTTTGAGTTTCCAATCAAGTGGGAGCGAGGGAAAGGTCTTGACCCCTCTACTTGCCAGCCCCACAAAGAATACCTCACTGAGATGTGTGAGAGAGTGAGTCGGAGCCTCGAGCAGCAGATCTCACAGGCTGCAGACATGGTGGGCAGAGAGACCTCCCATCCCAACTACCAGGAGGTCCTCACTCATAGCCTTCACTGCCGGGCACTGCATAACTCCCACTTGGTAAGTGAATAAAGCCAGCACTTACATGAATACATTTCCCACACTTAGTTTTTCAGGGTGGTACAGCAAAATGAACTCTGTCCTGAAAACTAACCAATCAACTTAAAAGTTCCTGAGACCAGCACATGCATGAAAAAATACATCCTCCTTTGTAACATACAGGATCGGCCCAGAGTATCGGAGCAGATTGAGTCCTACATGAAGAGTTCAGCTACACATCCTCTAGTGGTACACGGCCCTACTGGTCATGGCAAGACCTCACTGATGGCGGCTGCAGCTTACCGTCTGAGAGAGGGAAACCCTGGCGTTAAAATGGCAATTGTGTTGCGATTCCTGGGACTGACTCCCCACTCTTCAACCATATTCCACACACTTAGAAGTATTACAGAGCAGGTCAGTGGGTCTAAAACTTAACTCATTAGATTAACATAAGTACCTGCAGTGATTCACTGAAGTCTACCTACAGTTTAAAATTTAGCTCAACAGATGTGTATCTATGCTTTCTCTGGGCTTTCTCTCATCTACAGATAGCAGAAGTGTATGAGATGGAAGAGGTGGTCATCCCAGGTGACTACCAGGGAGTGAATGGGATGTTTGTCAGGTGTCTGGAGTGTGCAAGTGAAGAGAGACCGCTCTACCCTGCTCCTGGACGGAGTCGACCAGCTCTCTCCTGAAGATGGGGCCTGGGGAATGTCGTGGCTCCCACTCACACTCCCACCTCACGTGAAGCTGGTTCTCTCCAGCTCATCTGAGCCAAATTACAGGGTCTTCCCCGTCCTCCAGAGTCTGCTGGCTAAACATCCCACAAGCATGGTCCAGGTACAAGACATGTTGAAATACGGTTTATAAACACTGTATGTTACTGAGTATTGTACATTCTCGATTTTGCCGGGAAAACAAACACATTGTATGTACTATTGTGTGTTGTTTTGTATGAAGCAATTACACTATTTATTACTACAGGTTCCTCAGTTGTCATATGAAGATTGCCAGCAAATACTGTGCCACAGTCTGTCACTTGAGGAGAGAACATTGAACTCGGAGCAGATGAAGAAGGCAGTGGCTGCTCTACAGCAGTGCCCAGTGCCACTCTTCCTCCAGTTGATGATGAAACAGCTCAGGGACTGGAAGTCTTTCTCCATTATAACAGACCCGATTCCATCTTCTATTGACGGTAAAACCTGTATACCAATGTACGTATGTGATCTGTATGTGGCTACTCATAGACACACAATTAAATGTGGCAGTTAATTTTAGACTTTCACATTCCCTCAAGTCTCTCATTTACAAGTTGATAAGCAGGTCTCTCATTTACAAACATGGTAATTTGTGTAGACTGAGCCCGTGAAATATTTTCTCTTGACTTTTTCACTAAGCGCAACACCTCTCTCAATGCAGCCCTAATAGAGAGATATTTGGTGGAGTTGGAGGAGAAGTATGGGGTGGTGTTGGTCAGTCGCCTCTTGGCCTATGTATCAGCATCGAAACACGGACTGACAGAGCCCGAGATTCTGGACATCCTTGCACTTGACACAGAGGTATATAGCTCCAGCTACACACAGCCACAGAGTAACTGGACACTGAACTATACTATCGTGTGTTTTAGGTAACGTCAGAGGTGAAATCTGGGTTTGGCGGTGAAGGTTCTGCCGACCTGATCTTTCTCCCGCCTGTCATGTGGACTCAGCTGAGCCTCAGTCTCAGGCCTCTACTGACCTACAGAGTTGGTGTGGATCACTCTCTGGTGCTGCAGTGGAGTCACCGGAGACTGAGAGAGGTGGCCGAGACACGATACCTGCCCCAGCATACCTCTCAGGTATCACCATCATCTGCTGTGAAGGCAATGTAGCGCTTTCAAAAGTAGATGAAGCTAGTTCCCTCCTTGACCATTTATCCTGACTCATAATAATGCCCCCTTTGCTCATGCAGAAGGTGTATGGAATGCTGGCTGATTACTTCAGTGGCACAAGCTCAGAGAAAAGGGATCCAGAATCAGACGATAAAAGTGGTAAGTAATAGTCCTTGATCTCATGCACCAATGATATGCTGTGAAATATTTTTTACTCTCAGATTCCCTGGAGGCACTCTATGCAGTCAACACCCAGCCACTGCTCCTGAACGAGGGCCTGGGGCAGTACAACATCCGCAAACTCTCGGAGCTGCCTCACGTCCTGGCCAGGAGTGGTCGGTTTGCCTACCAGGCCCTCACAGAGCTCCTGCTGGACTACCAGTGGCTCAAGGCCTGCGTCCTCTCCTGTCCTCCTGGGATCTCATCCACGACTTCACCTCCCTCATACCCACGGTCCCTATTGGCAGGTCTGCCATCCATTTCCATGGCATTGAGTTAGCTTACATTCTCCTTATTTGTCCATACACAACGAAATGTTATGGTGGTAGCGTGGAGATGCCCCCACCATCAGAGCCACGCGCAGCTAGAAGGATAATTTTTCAAGGAGTTATAATCTTAGTTGACCAGATAGTGCATGGTTGTCAAACATACAGCAGTCACCTTCAACAGTAGCTGTGTACGACAACTGATATCAGGTCCGTTTTATGCATGAACAGATGAGGGAAATTCCAATGTTAAACAAGTAAGTGAGGATGAAAGCATATAAGGGGGAACATTACGTTGAGGCAAAAATTTGGACTGAAAAGCTTGTAGAAATACTCCCAATTCATACAGGACTAACACAGATGTTGACCATGAGCTGCGGCTGTTGCGGCAGACTCTGATGTACTCTACAACTGTACTGAATGCAGACAGCTCTCAGCTGTGTGCCCAGCTAGTTGGCAGACTCCTACCTTACATCAAATGCACCAGCTCTGACCAATAGTAAGTTCCTTAAGCAATGTTTGAGTAATGAACAACAACTTTTGAGTGTTCCCCCTTAACAACAATAAGCTAGACGGCCATTTGAATTTTTGAGTAACAGTAAGAATTACAGCATTCCCAAGACAAGAGTGTGCTAATTACTCGAACGATTTGTGCATGAAATATCCATTAAGTAATTTCGCAGGGAAATTTTAAATGAAATTTTAAGCACATATTTTCCACACAAAGTTTTTGATTAATATTTTGCAGGTAAGTAACAAAATAAGAGAACATGTTTATGAGAAAACACCAAAACTACTCAAGTCAGCATACACACATGAATAGTTTTAGTTACTCATAAAAAAGACCCTGTCAGCATCTATACACCAACCCACGTTCTTTCGTACCCCCCCCCCATGCATCTATCATTTTTGCCATCTCTAGTGCATGTGTGATGCATACACTTCGGTACATTATCAAGCAAAACACGTTTCGGGTTGATAGGTATGTGCTTTAATATCCAATGTGTGTTACACCCAATGTCCACTGTCCGTACCGCAGTCCAGTACTGAAGAAGCTGGTGGTGGCAGCAGTGGAGGACAGGTCCCCTCCCCTCACTCCTCTCCACCCTCTATCCCACATCCCTGGTGGCCCACACCTGCTCAGTATGGACGGTCACCGCGACAGAGTCTCCTGTGTCTCCACTGTACTGGTGAAGGGAGGGGGAGGATCACAGGAGGGGATGTCCCTGGTCATTATGACTGGATCGTGGGACAAGACTCTCAAGAGCTGGGACCTGGGCACAAGTGGGGTTCTTAAGACATTTGACGGCCACTCGGACAGAGTGTTATCCCTCGCTCTCTCTGCCAATGGGACGTATGCTGTCTCGGGCTCTGATGACAAGTCTGTCAGGTATGCATTACACACACATATTGTTACTTCACCCTGTATCGTTTGAAGTATTCTCTTTTACCCTATGTGTTAGTATGGTATGGGCTGGGGAAATTTGTGTAAAGAAACACTGGGCACAGACTTTGCTCTTGTACACATGCACTCATTTATTATCCATGTACGTAGCTAGCATGTGCGCTCTAGGCACACTGTCTACTAAACTGGTTGTAGTAGTTGTGCAGTCAGTGAGGTCATTATTCTTAAAAGAGAATCGGATGGAGCGAGCGACCTGACTGCGGCGGAGTAGCACTCAGCACGAACACGGTTTTAGAGCGCTACGTATGCAACTCTTGGATACATATGACTCTTTCTCTAGCAAAGTAACAAAAGAGGCCCTTGTTGACCAGACCTGCGTAGTTTCTATGAACAATGTTATTAACATTCGCAGGTATTGGAGTGTGGCCAGTGCAGAGTGTGTACATGTGATGAGGGGACACACTGCGGCAGTGACAGCAGTGGCAGTGACCAGAGATGGGTCAAACACTATCTCTGCATCCTCTGATGCCACTGTCAAGGTCTGGAATACTGACTCAAACAGCAGGTCAGCCGACACTCAGTAAACAGTCATGTGCACACAGGTATGGTATGCAAGGACGAGTTACGGACAAAAACGGAAGATAATAACTCTCCAGAAGGCGTAGCAAGTATTACTATTAACAGCAGGGTATGTGCGCGATACAGAAAATGGACGCCAATTATGTTGTTGCCTGCATACAGATGTTACAATCGTGTAATTTCCAAATTCTCTTTGTGCCCTGTAGTTCCCGTGGTCAACTGATCTACACCCATCGAGACCTCAAGAGGCCAGTGCTGGCTGCTGTTCTGAGAGGCAGTTCCCTGGCAGTTGGGACCAGCAATGGCAAGATATCCCTCTTGCACATCGTCTCAGGACAGGTGATGAGAGCAGTTCAAGGTCACGATCGAGCCGTGACAGCACTGGCTACAGAGGAAGTTGAAGGGTAAGTCCTCTAGTTTTGCTTATAGCGATGAGTCTGTTTATGCTATAGTGGTTAGGATTCCAGTTCTCATCATCCGGGTGGCCAGGGTTAGATTCCCATAATAGGAAACTCTCATCCACAATATTATTTAGTATCAAAATGCCCCATCATAAGTTTCAATGCACATCAACTAGCCTACATAAAACACATTGAAAGTTGGCGCTTTTCTCTCTCCCCCTATCTCTACAGGCATTGCCATCTGGTGTCAGGGTCGGCCGGTGGTGAAGTCAAGGTGTGGGATTTCAGTAACTTTGACCTCCTCCATTCTCTAACCAGGGATAGTAGTGAAGGCATCAGCAGCATCAGCATTGGAACCAACGGCAGGCTAATCGTAGCCAATGGACAAAGGTTGGCAAACACTTTAGTGTTTAAAAATTTAGCACTTGCCAACAAAGGGCTTTGACCCATTAGAGATGTACTGACTGTATTGATTCCCAGTTTAGGTTTTATGCCTAGTGGTCTTAAAGCTAGGTGTGCTCACTCCTGGGGGTGCATGAATCTATGAATTATCAAGACTGCTATTTCGGTACCTAATACTTTTGGTGACCATCATAAAGGAAACGCTGTGTATATACTTCCCTCAGGGAGGCTGGGATGTGGGACCTGAAGACTGGTACTCATCTCTACGACCTCCCACCACACTCATCCGACATATACTGCACAGTCATGGCTGACTCTGGGAGACTAGCAATCACCGGGTCCTCCAGCCCTTCCCTGACAGTCTGGGACAGCCTCTCACCTCCCGTCCAGCACACCACACGACTCCACCCAGGGGAGGACATCTCTACTGTGGCGCTCTCTGGCTGCGGCGGCCTGGGTGTCAGCACCAGCCACACTGGGAGTATCTGCGTATTTGATACGGAGGCAATGTCCCCTATTCGGCGCCTACAACCTCATTCAGCAGCTGTTACACAAGTCTTGGTGTACAAGGATGGAAACAAGTTGTTTTCTGCCTCGAAAGATGGCACACTTTGCCTCTGGAACGGAGAAACTGGAGAGATCCTGACAAAGTTTGAAGAGAACAATAGTTCTATCAACTGTATGGCCATCACGGGTACTAAAGACCTGCTAATGACAGGGGCAGAGGATGGAGAGGTGGCTTTTTGGAGCATCGAAACCGGCAAGAAACTGCGGATGTTCTCGGAGCACACATCAGGTGTTCTGACGGTGGCGTTCATATCACAGAGCAAGGATCAGTTCATGCTGTCGGCATCACATGACGGGAGCCTCAGCATTCGAGAGTTCCACTCATCCAAAGTGGTAGTCTCCACACTGAGCCACAGCGACGACCTAGTCTCTACTGGTATCGCTCCCAACTCCATGTTCATGGTGAGTGGTTCCAGGACAGGTCTTGGCTACGCAGTCTCTCTCCCTCACGGGACTCTCATGGCCACACTGGTAGGGCACACGGCCTCAATCACCAGCCTGAGAGTGTTCCCTGACTCCTCTCGATGTGTTACTGGATCCAGGGACCAGACTATCAGGGTCTGGACTATCGATGATGCCCGGTGTACCGCTGTACTCCACACAGATGAACCAGTCCTCGCCTGCGATGTCAACTACAACAACATTATCCTCTATGGGACCGAGGGAGGCTGGGTTTCCACCGCCGCCTACCAGTCTGATCTTAGCAAGCCCAATACACTCGTCAGTCAGCTAAATATAAGGGATTCCCCCGAATTTAAGACAGGCAGCTCTTCTTCGGCAGCCCCAACTCCACCCCATAGCAGGGCAGACTATTGCCACATGATGAGAACAACAAATCGACCAATCATTTCAACTCGTCTCAAAAGAACCAACCCTCACCAGTACCACAGCCAGAAGTAGATGCTACTGCAACAGAAGCAACTGACTTTGGTGGCACCTCTGGTAGAGAAAAGACTTCCCACACAGTGGAGGAGACAGGGGAGGCTGCAGGCGGTGGTGATGATGATGTCATTGATGAGGCCTCCAGGTCTGCTGGTGGTGGCTCAGATGATGGTTCAGGAGATGGGACCGTGTCCACTGAGTCTGTGGCTCACACAGCAACAGGAAAATCCTCCACATGCACGATTCTTTAAGAGCACAGTAGACCTCTATTAACTCTTTGACATAACCATGTAAAAATAATAGCTCACACTTGACTTACATTCGACTATGATGAAACTTCTCTATGAACATATTCACAAAAGGAACGAAGTGCGTAGGATACTTGTACTCTAGTTCGGAACATACAGCAGGGCAGACATATTGGCAAATGATTAATGCACACTGTTATGCCAATTTGTTACTATCCTACTACGTCCTCTCTCTAAAGTCTTTATAAACAGACGATGAAATAGTGTTTTGGACATTTAAAGTCATGTAAATCGTAGTAGTTGCAGTTCTTCAAATCTTAGCCTTTGGGCACTCCAGGTTCTTGGTCATCAGGCCCTGTGGTAAAAGCAACACAAGTCAACTGGGGCACTATCGCTAACGTTTCCGTATGTTCTCTGAGATTCAGGTGTATTAATATGAAGTGCCCTGGCCTTGTTATAGTTTTGGTATTGTATTGCAATTGTTTTCCTTGGAAAAAAGAGCTGTCAAGGGTGTAGTGGATTTGTTTGTAGTGCCTTAGCCTTTCTACCTCTAGTTTTCACATTGCACAGTGGTAGTGCTTGCCCAGGAAGCAAAAGGTTGTGGGTCCGAATCCCACTAGTAGAGTTGATTTTTCTTTCTACCTTTCTTTCTAATTATGCACTCTTCACCATTCTTTCGGTCTACCAGATGTGAGATTGGGAGTGAGATGCACGGAATAATTAATCTGAGGTAGCTAACCCGGTGAAGAAAAGCTGTCCGTACCAGCACTTACAGTACCCATCCCAATATCTTTGTGTTTCAATCTTATGCTGGTCATGAATGCATGTGCATACAAACTATAAATGCACAACTACTTTAGCTAGTAAGACACAAAGATGTAGGGATGGGGATGTGAATGTCTTTCTGTCTCGGTGTAGGCATCTTCTTGTTCCCTTCTTTTTCATGACGTGACATCCCTGCATCCCCTTTCATTCACAGAAACACTGGTACACACTGTAAGACCACAGCTGAAGGCACACAGAATCATTCCAATGTCAAGGACCATTGCATTGGTCGTGGCTTAGACTGCTGTGGTTAGATCATAAGCTACCCCCTCCCTACACCTTACCCCCCACTCATAACCCACCGACTAAGATTGAGTCAAAATATGTTTGTTTGTGGGGGGTGAGGGGGAGGGTAGTTGATACCTCCTGCAGCAGCAGTTTAACCACAGCCAAAGCCATAACCGTCCCATGTCAGAGTATAAAAGAAACGACCCTTAGAGGAAGATCCTACACGGACGATCTCTTTCACAAAGCAAACATGATGGTAGTTCTGAAGGTTCAGCTGCTAGCAACTGCTCTTGCTCTATTCTTACTGGCAGGAGGTACGTATGATTGCAAATAACTAGAGTTGGCTTTTGTATTGTCATTCCCTTCACAGCTTATGCTTTTGAGGGTCAGGCAAATAGTACTTGTCAACCAACTGTGGAGTTTCTGAGACAAAGTGAATGAGAGATGGAAGGGACGGAAGAGACTGAAGGGATGGGTTAAGGGGACCAAAAGGAGACCAAGGTCCAGCAACAGGAGGAGGAACAGTCTACACTCGCTGGGGGAGGACCTCCTGTCCCTCTGACCAGGGAACAACACTAGTCTACTCTGGAAGAGCTGGTGGAACCGCCCACAACAGGCGAGGAGGAGGAGCAAACCTTCTCTGTCTACCAGATGACCCTGAATACTCTGAATATGAAAATGGAGTGAATAATGGGGTACTTAATGGAGTTGAGCTTCGAATGACCACAGGGCAACCGCTTCGAAACCAAAACAACCACAACATACCCTGTGCAGTCTGCCACGTTTCTACAAGAAACACTCTACTAATGATACCTGCCAAACTGAGCTGCCCCACCAACTGGACCACAGAGTACACTGGATACCTCATGGCAGAGTACACATCATTACATCGCATAACCTTTGAATGCCTTGATGGTTCTCCAGAGTCGATTGCAGGACTTAACGGAGCAGACAGTAACAATGCTCTCCACCACCATGTGGAGGCAAGCTGCAACAGTTTCAGTTGTCCCTCCGATACGCTACTGGAAGAGAAGTGACCTGTGCTGTCTGCACCCATTAGGGGAATGATGAGAAATTACACTCAGAACATTAGAATAGATTTAGACTCTGAATATTGTAGAGATTACCACACACACCAACACTCTCTAGACTAGAATGATCAATAAAGCCAGATGTTTTGTTTTGAAATGCATTTTCCAGAGCAAACCAATGTCATGTTCATGGATGCACACATAATGTTACATAGTGTTATCAGCATGGATTAATTTATTATGTTTTGTGCCACTATATTAGCAGGCACTTTAGGCCTTCTGTTGTCATAATTAATCATGTCGGGCAGGATCACCTTCTCTCCAACCCATGCTCTCTCCACAATACCACATTCATTATGTCGGCCCTGGCAGCTCTAGAAAGGGTTCGTAAGTACTTGTCGCACACTTCCTCTCACTACATAGTTGCAATGTGTGTATGTATGCTACGGTTGTGATTTTGTGGACACAGGGGCTGCTACGTACAAACGTCGTGCGTGTACAGCAACCTTCCAAAAATACCCTCCAAGTAAAGAACACATCTACACTAGAGGAATGTGTTTGGCGAGCGAGCGCGAGCAGTTTGTGGCTTAGACTGCTGTGGTTAGATCACTGTAGGTGGTATCAGCTACCCCCCTCCCTACACCTTACTCCCCACTCACAACCCACCTGCTAAGTTCAACCAACTCATTGCAGTACACATGAATATGAATGAGCATGAGTTCATAGTAGTGAGTATATATATACCGCGTGACTGTGTGATGATGATATGATGAAGTAAACTGTAATACATACAATGTGTATTGTCCCCTACCTCCCCTGCCACACTCCACCCACACTCCTCTCTTCCTGTGTTCTGTGTGATACCCTACGGCACTGATGCCTAAACACATGTGAACACTTGTGGTTACTTCATTTTGCGATATCAACTGCACCTCTTTACATTATACATGTAGGTCATGATTGTATGATGAGGTAATGATGACATAGAGTAGTCACAGGTTGATTACAGGGTTCTACACAGGTTGTGAGTGTCACGATCACTAGTCGTTGATGTAAATCCATCTCCGTAGCCGTCACATGTAACCAGGGACGGCTCCTCCCCACACATCGGACACTGTCTGTTCCTGACACTCGATGACCTCATCCATATTATCAGGTTAACCCTTTTCCCACTGGTGATGGGGTGAGCCTGGTGTCTCTGTCTACCTCTGTGCAGCAGACCCCGGCCTCGTCTGTGAGTGTATCTCTGTTTCCATAGAGACCCTGGCTCCTGCATGGAAGAGGATGTCCTGTTACAATGAAAAGCACCAAAGTGCAAACCCTCGGCACACTAGAAATGTCGAACCTATACACATGGGTGGTACCACTAAATGATAGGCTGGGCTATGCGTGGTCAATTTACTCTCTTGCTAGTCTAGTACTTTACTTCGCTGCGTATGTGCAGCTCTGCACCGAGGGTTAATGGAACCACCTGAAAGTGGATAGTCTTCATCTTTATAGTCAACATTACGCCCAAACCTTCAGCATGAAGAGTGGTAAGTTCTCCAGTACTCACCCCTGCCATGGGTCCAAAACTAAGTTCTCCTCCAGTGAAACTGGTCCCCAGACACACGTTGAGTGTCACCTCTGCGTTGTCAAAGTGGTAGGAAAGCTGGGTGTCTCCCTCCAGTTGGTAGGAGACACTGAAGGCCCTGTGTGAGTCCAGTCCAGATGGCCCCACCCACTCTGGGTAGAGGAGGGAGGCCAGCGGTGTAAGGTAGTCCTCCCTCAGGTGGTCCAGGAAACCTCTGTCAAACCCCAGTTCTGACAGCAGGATCTGTACATACACAGTCAGCTGACAACAACTGCTTTTGCTACAAAACAGCATAATTATTATAGTTCACGACAACCTTTGATACAACCACTGTGGAACCTTTGAGTAATGGACACTTTGGGACAAGGCCTTTATTGGTATTTCTCTCTTTGGATAAATAGTCTGTGTGTGCTTTATTGAGAAACCTTTATTCGTAGTGCCTTCATCGGAGGTTCTGATGTTCAGGAGTTTAAGTTTACAAAAAAGTCGAACCACAGCATGCTTACATGGATCTGGTTAGGCATACCCCATAGTTGTTCATGGAGTTTGGTCTTCCTTTGGACATCTTCGACTTGTCAAAATGCTCCAATTCTTGTAACAGAAGATCACAGAACTGTTCAGTCAGTACTGGGAACGAGTACACATTTGGCACTGCAAAAAACATACAGCACCAGTGAAATATCGACGACGGTACTAAAATACCGACCTTCCTCCTCAGTGATTATGTCAAGGAGACCAGCAGGTGTGGCAGTATCACTCCTGCAATACTTGACAATCTCAAGAAACTGACCATCTAAGAACTGTTCCTGTAAAATGTAACATCGAGGTATTATCTTGTTTCATGTGAACCCTATGCACACACAGAGAGGGTGTATATCTGTGAATGGAGTCTCTGGTAGTGTAACTGTATGGTCTGTACTCGCAGTTTGCTCGTTTCAGAGCTCTCCCGCCTTCTCTCCACTTCACCGTGGACCTATGTAGGCGTAGCAGATGGAGGGATTATCAATGAACGTGCACCACTCTCGGCAGAAAAAACCTAACACTGCACACTCTTGTAGCGACACTATCATACACAATAAGGTTTTATCACGAGACTATCAGGAGTATTGCCACACTCTGGTCTTACTTCTTTCAGCACTTCGTCGTATTCCTGGTCTGATGCACATCCTTTCTCCCTCAGCAGCTAACACAAAACGAAATGCTTGACATTAGCTACAGCAGTGAGCTCGCTCACCGCTCTGTAGTCCTCTCCGAACTGATCGTCGTCTAGGAAGACACAGTGTAGCCCGTATCGCTGTAAGAATACGTTGTGAGTGAAGAAACAAGAGCACACGCAGAAAGTCTTAGCCATTAGGTAAATCCCTGCCAATCAACGTACGTATAAGGTAGTGTGCGTGGGAGGCTCGCCCTGCTCTTCTGGACCGAGCTCCGCTCTGTTCGCTGTAGCGAGCGGCAGTCCTACGGTTATAAAAGAAACGCAACCAGTTGTTCTCCTTCAACTTAGCCCCTGATCTTTCTGCTTCTTCAAGGATGGGAGCGATAAGATACAAAGAAGGATATTTTCTGCCAGCCCCACCCCTCTTCTACTGAGTCGCCCACCGGTGCACCCACCATGCAGAAACGAGAAGACAACATGGGATGCCTGCCCTCCCTAGGAGACAGGAACCGTGTTCCTCCGAGGATCCTCCGTTTCAAGGAAGGCCCACAGCCGCCAATGGCACGACAGATGTCCAGACTTCCCGAGCTTGCGCGACGAGAGTCGGTCATCAGCACGTACCGCAGCGAGCTCTACCAGCCGCGGGTGGTCACGTTCATGAAGAACGGAGACAAGTTCTTCGAGGGACTCAAGGTAAACGTGTCCTCGCGGAACTTCAGACACTGGGAGGTTCTGCTTTCCGAGCTCTCTCGCTCAATCGGCCTCCCAGCTGGAGTCAGGAGCATATACACGCCGGAGACTGGTCACAGAGTCACCACTCTCGACCAGTTCAAGCATCAGAGAGTCTACGTGTGCGCCTCCGCCGAACCCTTCAAGAAGATTGGCTACACAAAGGCCAAAACACCCACTTGGCACTCTGGTACGAAGGTGAAAACTGGGACGCTACTGGACCTCAGCAGGAGCGTTCAGGCTGCCGGGGGAGCCCTTGCCACCTCCTCTCAAATCCAGAGAGGGGAGGCTGTCAGTATCAACTCTAGCCAAGATGTGATGTCTTTTAGAGAGCGGAAGAGGAAGACTGGGTGCACAAGAAAACTCTCGTTCCCTCCTCTGCAGCAGTCCACAGAGGGAGAGAGACACACTGAAGCAAGCACGAGCCCCTCCAAGAGAAAAAGGCAGTCGTCCATCACTCAACCTGGCCTTCTGCAACCCTCTCAGTTCACCATCATCTGCAGCGGAGCACCACCCAGGAAGGTGGTGCCAGTCTTTCTCGACCGGCAGGGTGTCTCGTCCTGGGAGCAGGCCCGGTCTCTCATCAGTGAGAATCTGCCTCGTGGCTACAATAGCCGAGTCCCCAAACTCTACTCTGTGGACGGAGTGGAAGTTGAGAGTCTGTCTCAGCTCTGGGCAACTAACAGAGTCTTAATAGCTGCAGACAATGGAGACTTTATACTTCACGGCATTGATGGCTCCACACCACTAGGTAAGTGTATAGAGTGAATGTTGTTGCAATACGTGTAGACTTAGAGACTGAGCTTGTCAGGACTCAAAAGCAACTATGTTTCGTCACTGCCTGAGGCTAAATCTAGCCACCCAATTTTTCCATTGAGGGTGGCTTGCACTGCACTCTCCAGCTACAGTCAAGGTATTTAGGATGTTTAGTTTGCCTGTCCTTCTGTTTGTGTACTCACTAAAAGTACGACAATTTACTAGGCCACCTTATAAAATCTAGGCCATCCCATTTTTAACAGTAACTATTGATGGTGGCTTGCACTGCACTCTCCTGCTATAGTCAAGGTATTTAGGATGGTTTGTTAGCCTGTCCTTCTGTTTGTGTACTCACTAAAAGTACGAAAAATTTTGCCCACCTTATACATACAAAATCTAGGCCACCCAATTTTTAACAGTAACTATGGAGGGTGGCTTGCACTGCACTCTTCTGCTATAGTCAAGGCATTTAGGATGGTTTGTTAGTCTGTCTTTCTGTTTATGTACTCACTAAAAGTAAAAAAAATTTTGCCCACCTTATACGTCATACAAAATCTAGGCCACCCAATTTTGAACAGTAACTATTGAGGGTGGCTTGCACTGCTATCTCCTGCTATAGTCAAGGTATTGAGGATGGTTTGTTGGCCTGTCCTTCTGTTTGTGTACTCACTAAAAGTACGAATAATGTAGCCCACCTTATACATACAAAATCTAGGCCACCCAATTTTTTAACAGTAACTATTGAGGGTGGCTTGCACTGCACTCTCCTGCTATAGTCAACGTATTTAGGATGGTTTGTTAGCCTGTTCTTCTGTTTGTGTACTCACTAAAATTACGAAAAGTTAAGGCCACCTTATACATAGACAATCTAGGCCATCCAATTTTTAACAGTAACTATTGAGGGTAGCTTGCACTGCACTCTCCTGCTATAGTCAAGGTATTTAGGATGGTTTGTTAGCCTGTCCTTCTGTTTGTGTACTCATTAAAATTACGAAAAGTTAAGGCCACCTTATACATAGACAATCTAGGCCATCCCATTTTTAACAGTAACTATTGAGGGTGGCTTGCACTGCACTCTCCAGCTATAGTCAAGGTATTTAGGATGTTTTGTTTGCCTGTCCTTCCATTTGTGTACTCACTAAAAGTACGAAATATTTAGGCCACCTTACTGGCTTTGGTCTATTCAAACAACCTCTTTGGCAGCTGCTGCATTAGGTCGATAGATCACGATAAAACGATTGAATTTGTTTATCAGTTTTGTTGACTAAAAGCTTTGGTGGAGCATCTTTTGTGAAAAGTGTTTTATGAAAGTGGTCTGCTGGTGTGCGTGGCATCATGTTAAACTAGAGTGTTTGTGAAAAAACATTTCGCAATTTCATTCCTGTCACCATGACAGTAGGGGGTTAGTTTCTAAAGGCTCGGTTTGCAGGACCTGCAAGTACTTGTGTGTGGCAATAGTGATTAAAATCCTGGCATTCCTTTCGTGTTTGTAAACAGTCTGTTTGCGTTAGTTGCAAAGTAGCACGAGGATGTCAGTAAAAAGGAATCCAATTGCCTATATTTGTCTGAGCAATGAAACTCTGTTAGATACAACCAATACATTATTCATAGCCAGTGCTATTCAGTGAATATTATACCTTTAGACTGTTTTGCATAGCATGAAGAATGCTCAGACTGTGTATGCACTCAGAGGTAAATGAAAAACACGTCTCGCTGCACAGGCGGTGGTGTTTGGGCCAGCCAGCAGATGATCACTGAGCAACAAAATACGGAAGGAGAGAAAACCGGAGCAGGAGATGAGCAAGCGGACCACAGGCCTAGTGGTCTTCCCGGACACAACCAAGGGGCACTAGTACCAGGAACTGAAGGCAAGGAAGAAGAGATACAGACATATTCTCCAAGTGAAAGGGTCAATGAGGACACCAACACTGCTTCAGAGGAGGAGAGGGAGGAGGGAGAGGGAGAGAGAGAGGAGGGGGATGGGGAAAACGGAGTCTGGAGGGAAAGAGCAGAGGGGGAGAGTGCAGCAAAGATCGACATCTCAGAAACAAACATGTCAAACATAGTCTCTACGCCAGGGTGCTCCAGTCCAGCAGCAGAGCCTGGACCTTCGACTTGGCCTCCTGGAAATGGAGAGGCTGAGGTCCAACCAACCAATTCACTACTCACTCTGACAGAAGACGGCTCATTCCTGGGCTCAGGCTCTCCACTAACCGTGGACAGAGTGGCTGCCGTACAGCACCTCCACAGACTGGCCCTACAGTATGATATTGACCGCATGAGCACATCAGGATCTGACAGCTCCACCAACATCAGACTCTCCATGGCCTCAAGTAAGAGAGTAATCTCGCGGGGCATACGTATTTACTTATTGTGCAGGGCCCCTGCACGATAAGAAAATAGTAATGGCTTGGGAGACTATATAGTAAGAGAGAGAGTCACACACACAACATTTTGCTCTCCACGTGTCACTCCATTTCCAGGGCCATCTGTACTGTGTCCACAGACTCCCCAGAGCAACATCTCATTCAGCCAGCCTCGCTCCCTTGTGGAGATGATAATGCCGAGAGAGGTCAGCTCTCCACACAACACACAAATAGCCCCGTATTCCCATTATGATCTTCTGAACAGAAGTGTGAAGGTAGTATGGACTCTGTGTCTTCGTCATCGAGAAACAGTTCTCAGCCACCAAAGTCAAGGACAGTTGGGATACAGACTGAATGTATGTTCCCCATAGTCTCGATGCAAATTGTGAGAATGCTGCCTCCTCTCTATATGCAGTGGTAGGGGACAAACTATCAGCTATCATTGAAGAAGTTGAACAGGTTTGTGTATGATAGTTTGTCTCTATATGACTTACGACTCACACAAGCTCTCTCTTATTTTTGTATTTTCAGCCATCTCACCTTGGAATGAGCCACAGAAAGAGAAGGTATATTATAATACGCAACCCACACTGGTTGCAAGAGAGCTAACTTTACTTCTTTCCAGGGCCACCCATCCGCTGTTTCACACACAGACCAGTGTCACAGCCGGCCAGTCTCAGAGGGAGAAGCTACAGAGTGGGTCCAGTGGTGGCGGAGGGAGGTCTGTGGTAGTGGAGGGACTGCCACCAACAAGGTGACTGGACAGCAGTACTCCCTGAGAGTCATCAACAAAGGCCGGGGTGTTTGGGGCACGAGACCTGGTTATGAGGGAATGCGAGCGTGCTGCGAGGTCTGAAGCACGACAACCTGGTCCGGATGGTTGATGGGTGGAGAGCTGCGATGAAATCTGCATGGTCGCAGAGCACGTAGAGGTAGGTTTGGAAAACCCCTAGTAATTATGTGTGGCACACTCAGCCTTGCGTGTGATTATTCTATCTCTTTTTCTAATCATCTCTTCCCCTGACTCTCCCAAATCTTCACGTGCATGCACTCCTTACGTGATAGAACAGATGCTACATCTCCCCCCTCCCCCTCTCTCTGCTCCCTCTCTCCCTTTGTTTTTTTCCCTCTCCATCTCCTCAGGGCACTGACCTATTTGATGCTGTCCTGCACTGTCGGCACTTCTGTGAGTCTGACGCAACTATCGCCATTAGGCAGCTGAGCATGGCCCTGGTCTACCTCCATGCCCACAAGATAGTACACAGAGATGTCAAACTGGAGAACATCTTTGTGAGTTTGAGTATGTGGGGAGTATTCAACTATAATTAAGTCACATAGCTACGTAGATTATGGTAAAGCTACATAGATGCTCAAAAAGCTCTCAATTACCTCCACCCTCCACACAGCTGCACCAGGCAGAGAGGGAGGTGGAATTTGAAGTTGGGAGGAATGGGATTGGCTGCTACTGCCTCTGAACCTCTTTCTCTCGTCTGTGGCAATATATTCTACATGGCTCCCGAGATGATCGCCGAGACTGGGTTAGTAGCTATGACGTCACATATTATGGTTGTTTTTGTTCATGAAGACTGGGGTTGTGATTTTTACTGTGCACAGTTATGGTACCAAGCTGGACGTATGGGCTGCTGGTGTTGTATGCTGCACTCTTCTCTCTGGAATTATGCCATTTGGAAGGTAATGAGTGTGCATGGCCACACACTATGTAACCTATTGAGGTTCTCATTCTATTCTACAGTAACAGTAAAGAGAGCTACAGTGTCCAACATCCAGAAGGGTAGGTATGCCTTCCTCTCTCCATTCTGGGACAATGTCTCGGATAAAGCCAAGGTATGCACAGTTACGAACACTGACATAGTTATGATTGCATATACTTTCTGGTGTCCAGGACTTTGTGTGTCATCTGCTGGTGGTATCTCCATGCCAGCGGTACATGGCCACACAGATGCTCCAGCACCCCTGGCTGGTAAGTCCCACTCAACTGTGGGCGTATTCAACATCGTATACTGCAGCAAGTAACCTTCAAGGGAAAATATTTCGCTTTGCGGATTACTACTCCCACAATGCAAATGTTCCTGCTCTAAAAAGTGTGTAAATTCTGAACACTTTTCCCTTAAAACTTTCCCCTGTATGGTCTATGTGGCATGTTTTGGGTTCACTAAGACACAAGTGTTAATGCAGGAGGAGAGGTGGGAGGAGACGTGTGGTCAGAGGGATTCAGAGCTGAGCAGAGTTCTCATGGAACACCTGGTCACCAGGTCTGCCACTGCCAGGAACGCTGCACTCCCTACACTTGTTGTGAGTCTTTCTCATACCAATTGTCACATATATACATGCTCTCTCTCTCTGATCTATTATGTCTAAAACGCTTCACATGTTAGTGATGATATATGACACTCGATCACTGTGCAGGAGACGGCTTTGGACAAGAGGAAAAGCCTGCCAAACATGAACCTACTCAGAAGGACCTCATTTAAGACCCACAAGTCATCATAACTCATAATGCTACTGCTGCTCAATCATTTTTTTTGACACTCATAATAGTATATTATAGCACGAAACAATCACTTCTAAATGACCGATATGAAAATTGCTGTACATACATGCACGTTATAAGTGTCCACACACCTAGTTAGTTGATAAGTAAAGTTTGAAAACAATATGGCTCACTGAGAGTTAAGAGTGGCCGTAATGATGATATCGTTTCTTGTGATGTAATTATATATATTCCACTCCATCTTCACTATCTGTAGTAGTAGCTGTGGCATTGTAGGCCACATTACACTCCACCTCATTTCGACCCACATAACCATAGGCCACATTCTGCGTCATGTCTTCCCCCAATGTTGCTCTATTGTCTTCATTAACCACACCTCCACTGCTGATGGTAGGGGTGTGTGATTGGTGGGTGGAGACATATTCAGACTTCTCAGCTAAGGTCCCGGATTTGGTCATTGATAGCTGACCACTGGCTGAGTTATAGGCCACAGAATCGGTTGTGTTCGATAGCCTCTTCTTTGACCTTCGTCTTAAAAACACTGTCACAGAGAGAGCTGTAGTAGCTATTATCACCACCACTATAATTGCAGCAACTCCTACACCCACTCCAAAGACACCTCGAGAAACACTGCCACCTCTCTTCGCAGAGTCTAAGACTGTTGTCCTAATGGAGGAGATGGGTTCTGTTTGTGTGATTCTGATGGCAGAGTGTGGCTCTCTTGCAGTTGTTGGACTGGTCGAGTGTTGCCTGCTTCTTCCTCCAGGTGTTGTGATTTTAGCAGTTGAAAGTGACAAGGTTTTTGTTGACATAGTGTTCTTGGATCTTGTTTGAGGTGGAAAAGTTTGGAAGTTTCCTGTGCTCCCACAACACGTTGTATGCTCAACTGTAGAAAAGATACATTATGTCACGTAGCTACAAGAATCACGGGGTGTAAACACAAGGCAAGCATGTATCAAACAGGTGGTACTCGAATGCACGACACTGTTCTCTAGATGAGTGCTTGCTCTATCACTGAGCTACCAGGACAGCCCAGCAGACTGGGTTCAAGGTCCGCAATGAAAAGGAACCAAACTCTGTGCTATGGCACAGACAAACAACACATTAGAATATTGGAAAAGCTAACCAATCTTAACTGTCACAAGAGGTATGTTAATCAGTGTTGTAACAGCTTCTCCCTGGACATTAAAGAACTCATTGTTGTCATCCGAAACGGTAGCATAATTGGGAGAGTGACCCCCATCATCGTAACTGATTTGTAGTCTACTGTCACCCCCAGAAGGCTGGATGATTCCCAGGATATCACCTGGCTGGAACTGAAGAGGAGGGGCTACAGGAAACTCATACACACCACCCCCCTCTTGCTGACTAACAGATATAACACTACTGCCCTGCTTTTCAAATGTACTGTTCCCTGAGGATCTCCAGACTTGAAGCTCTGGAAAGAGCGAACCGTTATAACTGTTCCATCTCCCTGCCAGTATCCACTTTACTACTTCTCCAGTACATCTGAATCTGATACTGGGAAATATCACCTGTTGATCGCTGAAGTCCCTCCTGAGCCCATTCAGTGGTGGTATACCTAGTAGAGCATATAGTCTCTCTACTGACATGAAGCCGCAACCACAATCAGGAGGATCTGCAATGAATAACACTGGATGAAAACTATATATATACCACAGCAGTTTTGTAGCTATATACCTGTGCTCACAGCAATTAAAGGGTATCTGGTGCTATCGAATACATCTCCGTCATCAATAGAAAAAACTTCTCCGGTGTGAGGAGAATTATTGTTCCGTGGCCTGGTGTAGTATGTGATGAGTCTCTCAGAATCTTCCAGAAGAATATCAATAGAAGACCTTCTTGGTTGAAAAAAACCAAGAACATCTCCCTCCTGGAAATCTAGTAAAGTCTCCACCTCATAGACTTGACTGGCGTTTTCTCCACTAATAAAGACACTGGTACCGATCACCTTCATGTACTGGTTTGGATTAATCTTCCTCCATATCTGTAGCTCAGTGTTGAAGGCCATATTATTATTGTTCCTTCCTTCCCACTGTGCACCAACTATCCACCGTGTGATGGCTCCATTGCAGCCGAAGTTTATGTCTGGAATCACGACCTGTCTTCTGTCGTTGTCGTTTGTGTCTAGGTTGCCAATGTTGCCTGCCAGTCGGTCAATGTGGAAGAGAGTGGGGAAACCGTCAGCGCAGTCTGACACTTCTCCCACCCCATATTCCTCACAACAATAGATACCTGGGTGATAGGTAGCAAGTAATTTCGTTTCAAGACATTATGCTGGTCTGTTTTTCGCTACACAAACATACTATAATTAGCAATGCAAGTGAATGTGAGTAGCTATAATATAGTTCAATTTCTTACCAATTATGAGTGCAAAGAAGAGCAGAAGACATAAAACGTTAGACATCTTTCCAAGTGACTCTCTTTGAGGATAGAACTGAGCATTGCCTCACTATTTCCGCATTTCCTTGTCAACATAGTAATCCAATTTTCATTTTCACCCGCTAGAAACCTGCTGAGAGTTTGGCTAACTAGGGGGATACGTGAGTATGGTGTCCTTGCACCTAACCCACTATATACTCTTGTACCCTCAATAAGGTTTTGACAAATTTTCCGGCACGTGAGTAAATAAAATAATGGCAGAGTAAACCCATTGAAAATAGTCAGAGGGTGGAATAGCGTGTTAGAATATGCCCTGTGACCTCATTGTTGACATGTTTAAATCGTGCACACACGGCCATTGCTATTGTACAGTGGGAAGTGGGGCGACTACCTGTAACAGTTCACTCTTAAGAGCCAGCGCACGACTGACGTTAATGTAATGGTGCAAAAAATACAATTTGACCCTAATTACATACACACTTTCAGCCAGACGGCCACAATAATAACAACAACAGAAAAAGGAAACTGAGATAAATACTACACAATACAGAACCGCTGAGTGATTCCAGGTAGAGCGGAGATAAAAAGCAGCTTTGAGCACAAGATATAAATCGATAAACACACGCACACAAATGACGGCGACACATGCTCACACATAGAAAGCAAATCCAAAAAACCACCAGATTTTCAATCTAAAAGGAAGGGAGGGAGGGAGAGGGAAAACAAAAGTTGCGAGTTGTTGTTCATTTGCCAGATGACGTCAGTGACTGCTGGCTGCCACTGGCAGTGGGCGAGGCAGATGCGATCACTCTCCGATGGCGTTCCCCGTACCGAGGGAGACTGGCGTTGGACGAGAACTTTTTCCAGCGGGCCGAACCCCCGAGTCGAATGGGCGGCGAGGGAAGTCGGGTGTCTCTGAGCGAGTTAGAGCGCCGAAGACTGGACAACGTCTGGAGTTTCCTGCCTGGGTCTTTGGGACTCCTGCGCTCAAACTTCTGTCTCAGCTCCAAGACGCTGGCCAGGTCGTTGTCCTGGAGCTCTTCCCTGGGGATTATCCCCACCCAGGCGTTAAACACGGCCCCGCTCTGGACCACTTTGCCGCTGTGCGAGTCCTGGTTCTCTTCGCTGCTACTGGAGAAGATATCGCTGGCAGTGTTCCGTCGTCCCATCCTTCTTGCCTTTCCCCCTCCCTCATGTCTGCTTCTCATGTTGGAAAAAGTTCCACGATGCGTCTGAAAGGCTGAAGACAAACCAGCGCTGCCGAAACTCCCTCCGTCCAGCTCCCTGGTGGAAGAGGTGGTCGAGGTCTCTGAGTCACTGGGGTCGTTCACCTCCACCACCCCCACATAGGGAGAGTAAAAGATGATCTCGCTCTGCGGCCTCTGCCCGCTCTGAACCAGCGACCGTTTGACGACGCCATCACCACGAGGAGGCTCCGCCTGGGCTCCAGTCGAGGCCTGTCCCGACCCCTTCTTACCCTCGATGTTCTGGATTTTGGCCTTGACCACCCCGTGAAGTGATGTGGGGAGGGCTGGGTCTGCGGGGTGCGAGGGAGGAGGAGGGGAAGAGCCTGTGTCAGTGTTGGGAGAAGGGACTGAGGACGGGAGAGAGAAGCTGGTTTGGACGGAGAGATGGGGAGAAGATGACCGACACGGCGACAGAGACGGTCTGGGGCTGAGTGAGGAGTGTCGTGGTATCGAGTCTGCGGTCACTCTGGAAGAACTGGTCAAGGGGACGTGTTGCAGAGTGGATGACTTGCCTCTGTCCCCAGTGCCTGCGTCAGTAAACGGAGAGGCAAGACACTCTTCGGACGATGACTGGCTGTTTGAGGAAGTGGCTGAAAGAGGCTGGGAGTCGGCCTGAGGGACGATGGACTGGAGCGACTGCGTGCTCGTCACCTGAAGACCCTTCTCCTCTATCTCCTTCACTCTCTCCGGGACGCTCGATATCTGCGTCGTCTTGATCGGTCCCGAAACGTCGTGGTGCGAGTCTGACTTGCTTCGTCGGTGGTGGATGAATTTTTCCCTAGTGCGAGGTGTCATATTCCCCAGAGGATAGTCTCCACGTCTCTCCACTGCCTCTAGTGTCTCCTCCTCCGACTGGACTTCGCGAAGGTCTCCCTGCAGTGGTGTTCCTGTAGACGGAGACGCTTGTCTCCTTCTCACCTCCCCCTCTTCCGCATCCTCTGGTGTGACGGCCGCTGGGCTCTGTCGAATGAATCCAGACACCCTTAGCCCCCTGCCGTTAGTCGGTGACAAGCTAGTCAGCTTCTTGGCAGCAGCAGCAGTAGCAGCGGTAGTAGTAGAACTGCCTTCAGCCCGGAACACGTACCCACTGAGTCCATAGGGGAGACTGTATGAGCGATGGCTGTGGCTAACGGGACTATTGATGACCTCTGCATATTCCACTGGTTGTTCTCTACCACTGGAGGGACTGATGTTGTAGGTTGGTGGGTTAGGTGACAGTCTTGGAGAAGAGGAGGACGAGGGAGGAAGGGGCTGGGGTTCACTTATTCTCTGTCCATACGATCCTTTGTCTGCCACCCTCCCTCTATCATCTGTTGTAGTGTCCTCGGACGATTCCAATGCCCGAGTCCCCGCCTCCCCTGCGACCTCTTGCTCCCTGTGCTGGGCGGCCATGTGCATGTGAATGCTCTCCTCGTCGGGAGGGGTGTATATGGGACTGGAGTAGGCCGACCCGGAGTTAGACGTGGGGATGTTGTCCCCGATACCGTCGTCCGTACTCCCAATCACCACAGGCAGGGAGGCGAGGAAGTGTTGGAGATTTCTCGACTTGTCGACGGGCGTCGAGTGAACTGACGTGCCTCTCTCGGGGAGGGACCCGGCGCCACCAAGGATCCCACTGTTCCCGCTGGTGTCCTGCTGGCTCAGTTGGACCCCGGTAACCTCACCTTCGGCCAGGAAGGTTAGTTCGGGCTCATCGACAGCCGTCTGCTGCTGCAGAATGAGGTGGGGGATGTTGTAGGCACTCGCTACGTTGTGGATTGGACGAAACGAGCTCTCCCCGCTGTCCTCCCCCTCCCACTCCTCCCCCATCCCTCCCTCCGCCCCACGCTCCTCTGCCCGCTTCTGGAGACCACGTCTCTCCAGCTCCTCCTTCTCCAGCGACTGCATGATGTCCGGGTCCGAGACGGAGCGTTTGGAGTAGAGTCGGGTGGGGGCGTATTTACCCCAGCGAGGGTTGTGTCTGCAGGGAGACAGGGGGGAACAGTCAAGATCAATGTTTACACGCATAAACACTGAAGCTCACAAGATACAGTATACACATGAGTAACGAAGAAAAGAAAAGAGGAAGTAACAAAAACACATGAGTGGAAAATTGTGGTGGAAGGAATCTTTGTATGTGTCAACAACGAGGTATCGCGGTAGAAAGGCAAGGCAAAGCAAGACAACCCCTCAAATATGGTTTAAGCTGCGTATGTATTCATCGGGGCATCATGAAAAATGTAGATGTGACCCTGCCAGGCCTGTGTGGGTGAGACAGATACAAACCTGGCAGTGAGGATTCCCTCGTAGGAGTGGAGCTGACTCATGAAACCATCGTTGGGGTTGATGCAACCACGAATGCTCTTGACGTGTTTCTTGGCATCTGCCAGTGGCATCTGATACTCCTTCATCATGTACGCTATCACCTGCACCCCCCACACAGACAAACAGATTGATTAGTTAACTCGGCCTCCTACGTATATTACCACAATGTTTGCTCTCAACAGAGCAATGTATAGGATATCTACGATCAACAGAGCAATGTATAGGATATCTACGATCAACAGAGCGCACAATTTATAAAGAACGCAAGTCAAAGACTGGAACTTGTATAGTACGTGCATTCGGGCACACATCTCCATTTGCGCATTTTTACACATGATTTTCTGTATTAGATTCCGGTACACATATATACATAGGCTGAGAATGAATGAAGGAATAGCAGGTTGACTTACGGTGGCAGAAGATCTGCTGATTCCCATCTTGCAGTGAACAAGCACTTTGGTGTCCCTCATTCTGCATTAGGTTACAACACACAACATGACACAACAGTAGCTCATTACACACATCGTAAAAACCACAGGCTACTGCTGCGCACAGAGCTAGCCTATTGCTGGCGAGACAATCAACACCCTAACAACAGATCCAATAACAGCAAATTTGCTATGTACATGTATGTGGGGGTCAAAGTATCCATTGGGAAGCGGGGCAAATGAAAATATAGGGGGACTATCTCCCCATGGTGCGCACTTGTGCCAGCCCTGATGAGCCAACTACCACCTGTGGCATTGTGAGTCATTGAACCGCAACATTTCCAACATGACAGAACAGGTGGGGTTAATGGCACATGCATTGGCAGTCGGTTTGCGCGAAAACAACATACGTACTTTGCTTCTTTGATGAATCTGTAGGTTTTCTCCCAGTGTTTGATCAGCTCACTGTCAGGAACGTCGTACAACCTGCACACGTCACACACACACACACACACACACACTCCAGTCAAACACAGAATATTTGAGTTGAAAGAACGACAACGAAAGAAGAAGAGGCGAAACAAAGCACAAAACCCCAAATCACACACAATGACGTACTCCAGTATTCCCCATGTGATTTCCAAGTTTTAGTAGCTCATCCCTTATACATAGCACACACACACACACAATACAAACCTGATGTTGAGGTACTTGAAGACCTCGGGATAAAAGTTGTCAATCTCTCTCGTCACGTTCAGGATGTATCCAACCCTGGAGAACATATTATAATAATAGTCGCCTACGTACACACTGTATTACAAATACATGTAATATACTTATGTAGTTGTCTCAGACTCACCCAAAGGCTTCGAGCTCACTGAGGTTAGAAGCATTCCACTCTGAACCCTGTGCGGACACACACACACACACAGTCATTAGGCAGTGGCAGCAGCAATATTTAACACACAGCAGGGCCTTATGAAGCTTACACACAGGCATGCGCTGACACACACCTGGCAGGGGATCGTGCTCCGTGGAATGGGCCCTGCCAACACACACGTCACATGCAGACGCACACGTACATGTATGGACATCAATCACATGCACAGGTATATAAATGTACGTACAATAGGAGATGTGTAAAGTTATTCATGGTCTGCTAGCTCGAGTCCCTATGTGGAAAAACCATAGACTATTACTGTGCACAGAGCCTATTGGCTTTTTTCGGCCAAATCTTCAATAACCCCACCCTGACAGATACATGCACACTACAACACCAGACACTGCTAAGCTTTTCCACTATCATCACTCCCCTCCTCTTTTTCTCTTCCTTTCCTTCTTTCCCTCCCTCTCCCTCTCTTTCCACCTCCAGTCCTCCGCTCGCCTCTCACACCTCCTTCCCTCTTCCTCTCCCCCCTCTCCTTCTCTTTCCATCTCCTCCCTCCCTCTTTTCCTCCCTCCCCCACACACCAGGTAGAGGTAATCCAGGATCTTGGATGGCTGTTCGAGCTGTCCCAGGATCCTCAACATGTGTCTGTCGAGAAACTCGCGGTACTCGGTCAACCCCATGTCCATCTCCTTCTCCAGCTTCTCTCTCAGTTGGCGACTTGTCACCTCCTCGAGGTCTTCGTGGAGCATCACTCCACGTAGTTTGGACACGAGCTGCTTCTCAAACACATTGCCAGCTCTGTGGGGGGAGTGAAGGAATATGTACATGAAGGAAGTATGGAGAGAGAGGGGGGGAGAGGAATGAGGGGTAAAGGAGGATGGGAGAAAAGAGTGGGTGGGAGTGGTAGACGGGAAGACGAGAGAGAGAGAGGAAAGGGGAGACAAGAAGACATATGCAGAGCGAATGTATGAGGTTACAGCCTCTACTAGATAAGAGTGGAACACAACAGAGGGAGATGGAGAGCGGTCAAGATCAATGTTCAGGTTATTAAATGAGGATGTGAAGGAAAGGACAGCTGGGGGAGGAGATGGAGAGGGAAGGCAACGTACTTGGTGGATGATATGTTGGAGGAGTATATGAGAGAGTCTGGTCTGAACGACTCCACATCCTTCAACAGATTCCTGCATCAGGGACACAGCACAATATCATATACACTGTCTGAGGCATAATACAATGCCAGAGGGCACTTATGCTGTCCATCTAGAATTTTATGGGATGTCACAAGCATTTCAACCTCTGGAAGCCCACCGATATCTGAACTAAAGAACTCTGAAGAGCCTCAGTTGGATTATGTCTAGACCAGCTACAGATTGAAATCTGGAGAAAGGGTAACTGTATGCACGTACGTACCACTCATTGCGGATGAGGCAGTCGTCGGTGAGCTGCGCGAGGTAGAAGCTCATCCAGGTGTGGGACAGACCACCCACGTAGTAGTTGTTGACTCGTGCGTTCTCCGTCGACTGGTACAGGCTCTGCAGCGTTGTCCTGCAATGAAAGAGAGGGAGTGTTAGCATTCTAGTATATGTCTCCATCTATGCACGAGGCATGTGGAAAGTGTAGGAGTGAGCACTCATGAAAAAACAGTGGTTTTTCTTTGACAATGATGTGAGAAACATGGCAGTAACCCAGCACACATCTGCTGCAGTACGCCCCGTGTTTCCAGTGCACTGACCACCTTAGAGACATTGAAATTTGCAGGGCTATATTATTATGATAAGAGTTTAGGGCTGGGTATGTCTGTCGCATCGCCCCATCGACTTGTGCTGCATCGCGTTGTTCCGCGGAGATTAGAAACTATCCTCTCGATGCAGCAAAGCGGCAAGGTGCGACAGGAGGTTTACACCTTAGTGCAGTGTTTTTCGTGTATGTACACAGACAAGTGCAAAGTGTTGGATCACAGCATCAATAGTCTAGGACAGACTATACAAGCATACGTGTATGTATCACCATGAGTTCAAACAGGCCTTTCTCTAGACCTTGGTATGTATGTAGTTATGTCTTCAAAGCACTCAGACTAGGACACCCCACTTTATCTTACAAAGTGGCCCTACTGTTTATCCTACAATACACATATAATGTCTCTGACAGGAGCTGTAGTTGTGTCTCATCTCTACCAGATGGTAGCCATGTTCACTGAAGACTTGTATACAATTTGTATGTAGGACAAACAAGCATTAGATCAGTATCCTCCTCATACAGAATTACAAAAGCTAACACTCTCAACTACATGTACCATAGGAAAGACAGAAGGGGGGAGAGGAAGGAGACAGAAGGGGGGAGAGGAAGGAAGGGAGGATAGGAAGGAGAACAAGCCAAAAAGGCTGCCACAGTGAACATTAAGGGAGAGTGGATCCCTTGGCCAAATGGAGGAACTTAAATATATTGCGTTCCCAGTGTATAACTGCTATTAGGAGACCAGATGGTAGCCATGTTCACTAATGACTTGACAAATTAGAGGAGGTCTCCCGTTACAGAGAGATGAGACACAACTACAGCTCCTCTCAAGTGCATGCCAGTTACAGTCACGTCTCTCAGCTACACAGTGCCACGTCACTTAAGGTGCCCACCACACAGCACCTTACACTACCACACAGCATACTACAGTATAAGTGTTATATTCTCAGAAAGGAGCTAATGTGGAGTTTTGGACGCCACGAAAGTCCGTCCACCATACCCAGAATGTTGGCGACTTGTCTAGCACACTATTACAAGGCAACGGTGAGAGGCAAAAACAGGCTTTGGACGGAGGACACCGTTTAGCCTTGTAGTACCACCTACACAACTGGTGCATGATGAGGACTCAAACTCTGCTCTCTAGAGAGAGAGAGAGAGAGAGAGAGAGAGAGAGTGCTCTACCACGTAGCTGTATATCTGTATGTAACACGCTCTTTGGTGGTAACACTGAGAGCATTCAGGGAATCTGGTAATTAATGAGCTTTGGTCCTTTGTGTCTGTGACAACTTCTGTGGGAATCTTCTCAGAACAACAGAGAGTTGGAATGCAGTAATGCTCCCTATAATGAATGTACAGTATGTAAAAGGGTGGCATCGTAATAAGAGATATTGACGTGTTCTCTGTGGGATGGAGGATCCCAGGATCATTAGTACGCTCTGTAACTACCAGTGGGTATCACTGGGAGAGGTGGAATGCTACTACCACCACAGTCAGCTGTGTACTACATGTACCACTACCTATATACCATCCAGCCACCAACAGCACACAGGGAGGAGTATGTAGTTCATAATTGTGTTACATGCTCCATGCAGTAAACAAAGGAACAGCTGACTTATTATGTAAAGGCACACTTCACTTCATGTCTGTGTATATAAACTGCAGAATCTTTTCTTTTCAGATGGTGACAACAAACACCCTACCAAGAGGTTGCAACACACACTTTGAGACACTCGTCTCTACTGCACTATTAGAACAGAGCATAAGCAACAGACTAAGTGGTGACAGTATAAAACTAGGTAATAAACTGCTACCGTACTTGAGAGTGGCGATAATAGTTTCCAAAATTAAATGGCTGCCAAGTGCTTGCACCCGTGCTCGTACAGCAAGCAGTGCATAAATAGAGTACACTGGTAGATATGATAGCACAAGAGCAACAATTAGCTACAACACAGGGCAATTGGCAGAGTGTCTGGCTCACCACATGCTCTGTACAGAGGACGGCTTGAAGACTGCCTGATGGTCTCCACTGTGCACTATGAACCCTCTGGAGAAAGGAAGAAGAAAGACAAATGAAAATAAACGCACAGTGAACGATGACGTGCGATGAATGGTGATTGATTCCAAAAGGGTACGGAATTGAACTGTATATGTACACTGTACATTGGTATATAGAATACTCCATAGAGGGTAATAGCTGAAAAGACTGTGTCACTTACCCATCCCCATCCAACTTGATCTCGGTGTCTCTCCACAGTGGCAGCACCAGACCTACTCTCACACTGGGAGATAGTGAGTGTGTGTGTGAGTGTGTGTGTGAGGGGTGCGTGGTGGGAGACAAAGTCGGCAAGCATTAGTAACAGCACACTCAGAGCAGTCCAGCCCTAGTGCCAACAGCAAAAGGTTGCACATTACAGAGGAACCATTAGAGGCTAAGTGAGTAAAGGTGGCATCCGCACAGCTATCCCCTCGACACTGACTCCTCCGGACATGCTATATCAACACGGTAAGTGGGCCTCGAGTCATCAGCAGCTGCCCCATCTCACCCCATCGTCCCCTCCCTTCCCCCTCCACCTCCTCCCACATACACTACTCACACACACACACTTTAACAGGGATTATATAGCACAACCACTCCTGTAGAAGCCCACAGTGAATTTGGGCCCAATAAATACACAGATCCGGTTGGTAATTGTGTAAAACGAGAGGGAAGTCTCCCACACATTATCTCATCGCAGTGTTTCCCCACCTCAATGCTTTTGAACTGGCCTCAAAAATGCAATAACGCTGTGACCAACGCACAACTACAGAGAGCTCTTAGGAGCATGATTTACCATGTGCCTGCCTGCATTCTACCCATAGTATTTCACTGGTGGTTTGGATGATATCCAGTGAGTGTTATAGCATTGAACACAGACATCATCATGCACTGTTGGATCAACTTGACATACAAGCGAACCATCAAGCCCATTTCAGACCTGCTTCCCACAGCACCACCGGTAGACAGTATATGATTGGGTTCTCCCTTTGATCAAATGTACACAAAGTGGTACTGCATGTGTATATTTGTATAATTATGACTGTGGTGCAACTCTCTATACCGTAGCTCTGCAGCCACTACAACTATTGTTCAACTCCTACTCGTACTAGCTCAAAGCTCGACAGCTGCCTTTCTCAGACAAGCCATGGGAAACACAACAATACCGTATGAAACTTGGAGTATAATAGGCATTTGTGGGCCGGGATATTGTGTCGACTGCACTGTCCTTGCCCTGTTTACAAAGTTACGACTGTACAAGTGCTGCCAGTATAGTGTGAAACAGAGGCTTTCATTAGCTTCAATTTGTGAGCACAATATAACTCCTGCAGCAAAATTTCCATCCCAGCGTAGCCTACGCAGTCTTCCCTAGGGTACGGTACAAACAAAAGTTTACCCTGACCACATCACACTGTATTAGCAAGTGCCAAGTGCACAAATACAGCATCCATAAAATGCACCCTTCCAAACTCTGGCATTTCTGAGACGGCTATTCAGTCCATAATCAAACAGACATTATGCAACAAACAATCAGATCTTTACTGAAGGTGAGAACAGCTGTAGTAACGGACAAGTACAGCACACTACATGGCAACAACAGATACAGTCAGTCTATACGAGGAGACTCAGATTCATGGAAATGCACTGGACATTCTTCCTCCATCATTTACCACGTCTACGACAGTTGTATACACACTGTGATTGAGGTGTAGACTCCAGACTATTGGTTCATGCAATGCCATGCCACTAAGGCTATATAATACCGCAGCTAGTGACATCAGAACCCTGCAATTCCAGTGAATATGCACAGGATATTGGACAAAAGGACCCGCCTGTAAACATAGTCTTTGGATGGCTGCAGTAAGATGGTGGCTGAAGTAAGATGAGCAGGACAAGGAAACACTCCTCTTGGTAGCAGCAACGGCTCTTCATGTGTACCCAGATAGGGCCCATTGGGCATGCACAATTGAGCATGCCAACCACCCACTCCAACAATCAGCCTGAGACACATGATACACACCGACCGTGCAAGCGTGAAGCTAGGGATGCTGTAAGCAAATTTCAATTAGTGCATTCACTGCCTCATGGGTGTACACGCTCGGCTAGAGCAGTATTCACAGTCGGTGAATGCTCTGAGTCAGCAGCGTGTCAGCGGTCACTGGACCTGTTGACACCTCTTAGTCACCCGCTCAATACACCTGCCTCCCTGTATCACTATGTATCATGTGTGGACACACACGGGCTCCGTGAATACCTTGCATCTGATCTCTTAATTGAAGCCAAGTATAGCTGTAGACCTTCAAGAAAGGACACCGTCTTGTGATTAGCAAACAAGATATTCTCGCGGGGAATAATATTGCCACAATGTTACATTCTCATTGAAAGTGTTTGGTAAGTATATACACACTTGTATGTACGGTTGTTGTATGGGGTTCTATGGCGGGGCCTACCGTGTATCTTGATTCATCAAGGGGGGGTTTTCTAACCTGATTACTAATACTTTCACCTACGGTCGCTTGTTCTGTGCTAGCTGACACCGTTCTGTACTGAATCTGAAAGGATATGGGAAACGCTACTAAGCAGTTGCACTAGACGACACAGACATGTTTTCAATTAGTACGGGAAAGGATTGCTTTTCGTTGTAGACCAGACCTTATAAGGTCAAGAACCAGGCTTGGCGACAGTTTTTTCAGGCACTGGCTCTGTGTTTACATTGAGTGGCTACAGCACACTCATCATGATCCCAGATAGAGGAAAACAAGGCAGCCTGCACACACAGCTAGCCTACTAGTACAGTCCCAGACAGTAAGGTCAGAAGCTTTAACATGTACAGTTTTGACTCTGTCACACTCTGCAGACTCACTAACTTGGTTATGAACCCACAAGGAATTCTACTTAGGGAAGATTTCTACTGAAGGCACACGCAAGTTGTGTCTTGCATAATATTACGTGATGACCTTGTAACTGAAACTAATGTTCCCACAGCATGAAGTACTGCAAATCAGCAACTTGTAGTGCCTAGTATATGTACCCCAATTAATGATGTCTTGCGTTGTCATTGTGGACGGATGGGTGGGTAACAGACAGAGGGCCAAGTGATTCATACTCGAACGACCATGACACACACGAACACACACATGTACGAGGGCTAGCTAGTATACATACAGTATTAGTAGGACCAGGCAGACGAGGTCACACCCAAACAACGTCCATTCCACATGAACATGTTTGGTCATAGACGCCCTGTCTGGGAGAGTGCCGTGCACATTCAACAAGACTCGAAGAGCACATGCCACCAGCATTAGGTGAATGGATACACACCATGCACAGAGTGAGCTGTACTGATGATGTGTGCATACAAATATGCACGTCCGAATGGTTTCAGAAGCACCCAAAATGGTGCTGAATTTGAGGCTAAGAACCTTATATAGGCTTAATACAGCAATGTTTAAGAATTTCACTGCACATTCACTGAGGACACATCAGTGATGCGTATTGACTCACTAGTTTGATGGTGTCAGAGTTTCGGAGTAACTTTATCACCTTCTTGAGATGAGTGAAGATTCGTAATTGCTCTGTGGAAAAAATATAGCCCATTGTAAACCATAGGCAGTCCAAGCGGATTTTGTGGTATGACAAGGAATGTCAAGATAGAGTAGCATTGTATGCACAAAAGTATGACAGGGGCTAATAGTGCAGTGAGGTAATGGTACTTTTCTTTCAATGACACTCGTGTAAAGTGCATGTGAGAAGGTAAACACGTCTGATGAATTGGGATCGCTTTTCACACCGCATGGTTGCCCTCGGGGGCGGAGGGCAGAGGGACAGTCGAGACAAAGAGCTGTGATGAAATGTCTAGCTAATGACCACGCAACGTGTTCGCATCAGCTGACGGCAACTACGTGAAGTCCGTTCATTCTCTAGTGAAGAATATGGACAGTTTGATAGTTGGGAGGTATTGTTGCTGGGGAAATGCTTGTAACTCCTAATAGGGCATAATGAGACGTTACCTATCAGATTATCATTAGCACACACTATAGGAGATGTATGCTTGGCGAAGTATTATGCCCTCCTAATACAAAGTGAAATGGAGAGAGAGAAAATTTGAAAAGGAAGAGAAAAGAGAAAGAGGCCCATCATAACTCAACCTGTTCAGTTGAACTACTTATAATGGATCACTTCAAATCAGTATATACACCACTTAATACAGCACGTTTCGTCGTTCGCGGTAACCTCTGTTTACTGACAATTTCAATGAATCGCCGCATGCCATGTTGAGTTCTACTGTATTCTGAACCTGCATCCTCTGAGCATTTCACAAGACTCCATACATATCACTAGAGAAACTGCTGCAAAGAGTCTCCTATAGGACTGGAGTCAATAGTGTAACACCCACAATCCAGACGCCATAAACCACGTGAAGTAATGGTGTCCTCATCCACCCTACTACCAGTCTCAATGTGCAGGAAAAATGACACTAGCTGGCTTTCAGTTTCTCACTCTTCTTTCTTTTCTCCACCTCTCTCTCATAAACACTCGTACTCTTCTGCACTCCACTTCCCATCCACTCGACGCCCTAAACAGTTTTGGAAAGAGGGTGAGGTTATACTCCCTCCCACCTTTCACTCCTCCATCTCCATTTGTTCAAGAGAAAGTTTTGAGAAACTTTGGCGTGGAAACACGGCCAGCTAGTGTCATTTTTCCTGCACATTGAGACTGGTACGTAGGTGGAAATGAGGACACCAAATACTTCCACGTGGTTTTATGGCGTCTGGAGTTGTGGGTGTTACACTCATTGACTCAGTCTATAGGAGGACTCTTGCAGCAGTTCTCTAGTGATATGTATGGAGTCTTGTGAATGCTCAGAGATGCAGGTTCAGAATACAGTAGAATCTCCACATGGCATGCGGCGATCATTGAAATTGTCAGAAACAGAGGTTACCGCGAACGACGAAACCGTCTGTATTAAGTGGTGTATATACTGATTTGAAAGTGTCCATTATAAGTAGTTCACTGAACAGGTTGAGTTATGAATGGGCCTCTTTCTCTTTCTCTTCTCTTTTCAAATTTCTCTCTCTCTCCATTCACTTTGTATTAGGGCATAATACTTCGCCAAGCATACATCTCCTATAGTGTGTGCTAATGATATCTGATAAGGTTACGTCTCATTTGCCTATTAGGAGTTACAAGCATTTCCCCAGCAACAATACCTCCCAACTATCAAACTGTCCATATTCTTCACTAGAGAATGAACGACTTCACGTAGTTGCCAGTCAGCTGATGCGACACGTTGCCGTGGTCATTAACTAGACATTTTCATCACAGCTCTTTGTCTCGACGTCCCTGCCCTCCGCCCCCGAGGGCAACCATGCGGTGAAAGCGATCCCAATTCATCAGACGTGTTTACCTTCTCACATGCACTTTACAGAGTTGCATGAAGTACCATTACCTCACTGCACTAGTTAGCCCCTGTCATACTTTTGTGCATACAATGCTACTCTAATCTTGACATCCTTGTCATACCACAAAATCCGCTTGAACTGCCTATGGTTTACAATGGGCTATATTTTTTCCACAGAGCAATTACGAATCTTCACTCATCTCAAGAAGGTGATAAAGTTACTCTCGAAACTCTGACACCATCAAACTAGTGAGTCAATACGCATCACTGATGTGTCCTCAGTGAATGTGTCAGTGAAATTCTTTAAACATTGCTGTATTAAGCCTATAATAAGGTTCTTAGCCTCAAATTCAGCACCATTTTGGGTGCTCTGAAACCATTCGGACGTGCATCATATTTGTATTGCACATCATCATCAGTACAGCTCACTCTGTGCATGGTGTGTATCCATTCACCTAATGCTGGTGGCATGTGCTCTTCGAGTCTTGTTGAATGTGCACGGCACTCTCCCAGACAGGGCGTCTATGACCAAACATGTTCATGTGGAATGGACGTTGTTTGGGTGTGACCTCGTCTGCCTGGTCCTACTAATACTGTATGTATACTAGCTAGCCCTCGCACATACATGTGTGTGTTCATTGTGTGTGTGTCATGGTCGTTCCAGTTAGTCGAGTATGAATCACTTGGCCCTCTGTCTGTTACCCACCCATCCGTCCACAATGACAACGCAAGACATCATTAATTGGGGTACATATACTAGGCACTACAAGTTGCTGATTTGCAGTACTTCATGCTGTGGGAACATTAGTTTCAGTTACAAGGTCATCACGTAATATTATGCAAGACACAACTTGCGTGTGCCTTCAGTAGAAATCTTCCCTAAGTAGAATTCCTTGTGGGTTCATAACCAAGTTAGTGAGTCTGCAGAGTGTGACAGAGTCAAAACTGTACATGTTAAAGCTTCTGACCTTACTGTCTGGGACTGTACTAGTAGGCTAGCTGTGTGTGCAGGGCTGCCTTGTTTTCCTCTATCTGGGATCATGATGAGTGTGCTGTAGCCACTCAATGTAAACACAGAGCCAGTGCCTGAAAAAACTGTCGCCAAGCCTGGTTCTTGACCTTATAAGGTCTGGTCTACAACGAAAAGCAATCCTTTCCCGTACTAATTGAAAACATGTCTGTGTCGTCTAGTGCAACTGCTTAGTAGCGTTTCCCATATCCTTTCAGATTCAGTACAGAACGGTGTCAGCTAGCACAGAACAATCCACCGTAGGTGAAAGTATTAGTAATCAGGTTAGAAAACCCCCCCTTGATGAATCAAGATACACGGTAGGCCCCGCCATAGAACCCCATACAACAACCGTACATACAAGTGTGTACATACTTGCCAAACACTTTCAATGAGAATGTAACATTGTGGCAATATTATTCCCCGCGAGAATATCTTGTTTGCTAATCACAAGACGGTGTCCTTTCTTGAAGGTCTACAGCTATACTTGGCTTCAATTAAGAGATCAGATGCAAGGTATTCACGGAGCCCGTGTGTGTCCACACATGATACATAGTGATACAGGGAGGCAGGTGTATTGAGCGGGTGACTAAGAGGTGTCAACAGGTCCAGTGAACCGCTGACCCGCTGCTGACTCAGAGCATTCACCGACTGTGAATACTGCTCTAGCCGAGCGTGTACACCCATGAGGCAGTGAATGCACTAATTGAAATTTGCTTACAGCATCCCTAGCTTCACGCTTGCACGGTCGGGTGTGTATCATGTGTCTCAGGCTTGATTGTTGGAGTGGGTGGTTGGCATGCTCAATTGTGCATGCCCAATGGGCCCTATCTGGGTACACATGAAGAGCCGTTGCTGCTACAAGAGGAGTGTTTCCTTGTCCTGCTCATCTACTTCAGCCACATCTTACTGCAGCCATCCAAAGACTATGTTTACAGGCGGGTCCTTTTGTCCAATATCCTGTGCCATATCACTGGAATTGCAGGGTTCTGATGTCACTAGCTGCGGTATTATATAGCCTTAGTGCATGGCCATTGCATGAACCAATAAGTCTGGAGTCTACACCTCAATCACAGTGTGTATACACTGTCGTAGACGTGGTAAATGATCACATAATTGTTCAGATTGCAATGGGAACATGCAAATAGGCAAGAGAATTACTGCAATGCTTACAATTATGGATGCTACATTTGTGCACTTGGCCACTTGTATTTGGGTCTAATACAGTGTGATGTGGTCAGGGTAAACTTTTGTTTGTACCGTACCCTAGGGAAGACTGCGTAGGCTACGCTGGGATGGAAATTTTGCTGCAGGAGTTATATTGTGCTCACAAATTGAAGCTAATGAAAGCCTCTGTTTCACACTATACTGGCAGCACTTGTACAGTCGTAACTTTGTAAACAGGGCAAGGACAGTGCAGTCGACACAATATCCCGGCCCACAAATGCCTATTATACTCCAAGTTTCATACGGTATTGTTGTGTTTCCCATGGCTTGTCTGAGAAAGGCAGCTGTCGAGCTTTGAGCTAGTACGAGTAGGAGTTGAACAATAGTTGTAGTGGCTGCAGAGCTACGGTATAGAGAGTTGCACCACAGTCATAATTATACATAATATACACATGCAGTACCACTTGTGTACATTTGATCAAAGGGCGAACCCAATCATATACTGTTTACCGGTGGTGCTGTGGGAAGCAGGTCTGAAATGGGCTTGATGGTTCGCTTGTATGTCAAGTTGATCCAACAGTGCATGATGATGTCTGTGTTCAATGCTATAACACTCACTGGATATCATCCAAACCACCAGTGAAATACTATGGGTAGAATGCAGGCAGGCACATGGTAAATCATGTTCCTAAGAGCTCTCTGTAGTTGTGCGTTGGTCACAGCGTTATTGCATTTTTGAGGCCAGTTCAAAAGCATTGAGGTGGGGAAACACTGCGATGAGATAATGTGTGGGAGACTTCCCTCTCGTTTTACACAATTACCAACCGGATCTGTGTATTTATTGGGCCCAAATTCACTGTGGGCTTAGTGCTATATAATCCCTGTTAAAGTGTGTGTGTGAGTAGTGTATGTGGGAGGAGGTGGAGGGGGAAGGGAGGGGACGATGGGGTGAGATGGGGCAGCTGCTGATGACTCGAGGCCCACTTACCGTGTTGATATAGCATGTCCGGAGGAGTCAGTGTCGAGGGGATAGCTGTGCGGATGCCACCTTTACTCACTTAGCCTCTAATGGTTCCTCTGTAATGTGCAACCTTTTGCTGTTGGCACTAGGGCTGGACTGCTCTGAGTGTGCTGTTACTAATGCTTGCCGACTTTGTCTCCCACCACGCAACCCTCACACACACACTCACACACATACACACTCACACACACACTCACTATCTCCCAGTGTGAGAGTAGGTCTGGTGCTGCCACTGTGGAGAGACACCGAGATCAAGTTGGATGGGGATGGGTAAGTGACGTGACACAGTCTTTACTGTTATTACCCTATGGAGTATTCTATATACCAATGTACAGTGTACGTATACAGTTCAATTCCGTACCCTTTTGGAATCAATCACCATTCATCGCACGTCATCGTTCACTGTGCGTTTATTTTCATTTGTCTTTCTTCTTCCTTTCTCCAGAGGGTTCATAGTGCACAGTGGAGACCATCAGGCAGTCTTCAAGCCGTCCTCTGTACAGAGCATGTGGTGAGCCAGACACTCTGCCAATTGCCCTGTGTTGTAGCTAATTGTTGCTCTTGTGCTATCATATCTACCAGTGTACTGTATTTATGCACTGCTTGCTGTACGAGCACGGGTGCAAGCACTTGGCAGCCATTTAATTTTGGAAACTATTATCGCCACTCTCAAGTACGGTAGCAGTTTATTACCTAGTTTTATACTGTCACCACTTAGTCTGTTGCTTATGCTCTGTTCTAATAGTGCAGTAGAGACGAGTGTCTCAACATGTGTGTTGCAACCTCTTGGTAGGGTGTTGTTGTCACCATCTGAAAAGAAAAGATTCTGCAGTTTATATACACAGACATGAAGTGAAGTGTGCCTTTACATAATAAGTCAGCTGTTCCTTTGTTTACTGCATGGAGCATGTAACACAATTATGAACTACATACTCCTCCCTGTGTGGCTGTTGGTGGCTGGATGGTATATAGGTAGTGGTACATGTAGTACACAGCTGACTGTGGTGGTAGTAGCATTCCACCTCTCCCAGTGATACCCACTGGTAGTTACAGAGCGTACTAATGATCCTGGGATCCTCCATCCCACAGAGAACACGTCAATATCTCTTATTACGATGCCACCCTTTTACATACTGTACATTCATTATAGGGAGCATTACTGCATTCCAACTCTCTGTTGTTCTGAGAAGATTCCCACAGAGTTGTCACAGACACAAAGGACCAAAGCTCATTAATTACCAGATTCCCTGAATGCTCTCAGTGTTACCACCAAAGAGCGTGTTACATACAGATATACAGCTACGTGGTAGAGCACTCTCTCTCTCTCTCTCTCTCTCTCTCTCTCTAGAGAAGCAGAGTTTGAGTCCCTCATGCACCAGTTGTGTAGGTGGTCACTACAAGGCTAAACGGTGTCCTCCGTCCAAAGCCTGTTTTGCCTCTCACCGTTGCCTTGTAATAGTGTGCTAGACAAGTCGCCAACATTCTGGGGTATGGTGGGACGGACTTTCGTGGCGTCCAAAACTCCACATTAAGCTCCTTCTGAGAAATTATAACACTTATACTGTAGTATGCTGTGTGGTAGTGTAAGGTGCTGTGTGGTGGGCACCTTAAGTGACGTGGCACTGTGTAGCTGAGAGACGTGACTGTAACTGGCATGCACTTGAGAGGAGCTGTAGTTGTGTCTCATCTCTCTGTAACGGGAGACCTCCTCTAATTTGTCAAGTCATTAGTGAACATGGCTACCATCTGGTCTCCTAATAGCAGTTATACACTGGGAACGCAATATATTTAAGTTCCTCCATTTGGCCAAGGGATTCACTCTCCCTTAATGTTCACTGTGGCAGCCTTTTGGCTTGTTCTCCTTCCTATCCTCCCTTCCTTCCTCTCCCCCCTTCTGTCTCCTTCCTCTCCCCCCTTCTGTCTTTCCTATGGTACATGTAGTTGAGAGTGTTAGCTTTTGTAATTCTGTATGAGGAGGATACTGATCTAATGCTTGTTTGTCCTACATACAAATTGTATACAAGTTTCAGTGAACATGGCTACCATCTGGTAGAGATGAGACACAACTACAGCTCCTGTCAGAGACATTATATGTGTATTGTAGGATAAACAGTAGGGCCACTTTGTAAGATAAAGTGGGGTGTCCTAGTCTGAGTGCTTTGAAGACATAACTACATACATACCAAGGTCTAGAGAAAGGCCTGTTTGAACTCATGGTGATACATACACGTATGCTTGTATAGTCTGTCCTAGACTATTGATGCTGTGATCCAACACTTTGCACTTGTCTGTGTACATACACGAAAAACACTGCACTAAGGTGTAAACCCTCCTGTCGCACCTTGCCGCTTTGCTGCATCGAGAGGATAGTTTCTAATCTCCGCGGAACAACGCGATGCAGCACAACGCGATGGGCGATGCGACAGACATACCCAGCCCTAAACTCTTATCATAATAATATAGCCCTGCAAATTTCAATGTCTCTAAGGTGGTCAGTGCACTGGAAACACGGGCGTACTGCAGCAGATGTGTGCTGGGTTACTGCCATGTTTCTCACATCATTGTCAAAGAAAAACCACTGTTTTTTCATGAGTGCTCACTCCTACACTTTCCACATGCCTCGTGCATAGATGGAGATATACTAGAATGCTAACACTCCCTCTCCTTCATTGCAGGACGACGCTGCAGAGCCTGTACCAGTCGACGGAGAACGCACGAGTCAACAACTACTACGTGGGTGGTCTGTCCCACACCTGGATGAGCTTCTACCTCGCGCAGCTCACCGACGACTGCCTCATCCGCAATGAGTGGTACGTACGTGCATACAGTTACCCTTTCTCCAGATTTCAATCTGTAGCTGGTCTAGACATAATCCAACTGAGGCTCTTCAGAGTTCTTTAGTTCAGATATCGGTGGGCTTCCAGAGGTTGAAATGCTTGTGACATCCCATAAAATTCTAGATGGACAGCATAAGTGCCCTCTGGCATTGTATTATGCCCTCAGACAGTGTATATGATATTGTGCTGTGTCCCTGATGCAGGAATCTGTTGAAGGATGTGGAGTCGTTCAGACCAGACTCTCTCATATACTCCTCCAACATATCATCCACCAAGTACGTTGCCTTCCCTCTCCATCTCCTCCCCCAGCTGTCCTTTCCTTCACATCCTCATTTAATAACCTGAACATTGATCTTGACCGCTCTCCATCTCCCTCTGTTGTGTTCCACTCTTATCTAGTAGAGGCTGTAACCTCATACATTCGCTCTGCATATGTCTTCTTGTCTCCCCTTTCCTCTCTCTCTCTCGTCTTCCCGTCTACCACTCCCACCCACTCTTTTCTCCCATCCTCCTTTACCCCTCATTCCTCTCCCCCCCTCTCTCTCCATACTTCCTTCATGTACATATTCCTTCACTCCCCCCACAGAGCTGGCAATGTGTTTGAGAAGCAGCTCGTGTCCAAACTACGTGGAGTGATGCTCCACGAAGACCTCGAGGAGGTGACAAGTCGCCAACTGAGAGAGAAGCTGGAGAAGGAGATGGACATGGGGTTGACCGAGTACCGCGAGTTTCTCGACAGACACATGTTGAGGATCCTGGGACAGCTCGAACAGCCATCCAAGATCCTGGATTACCTCTACCTGGTGTGTGGGGGAGGGAGGAAAAGAGGGAGGGAGGAGATGGAAAGAGAAGGAGAGGGGGGAGAGGAAGAGGGAAGGAGGTGTGAGAGGCGAGCGGAGGACTGGAGGTGGAAAGAGAGGGAGAGGGGAGGGAAAGAAGGAAAGGAAGAGAAAAAGAGGAGGGGAATGATGATAGTGGAAAAGCTTAGCAGTGTCTGGTGTTGTAGTGTGCATGTATCTGTCAGGGTGGGGTTATTGAAGATTTGGCCGAAAAAAGCCAATAGGCTCTGTGCACAGTAATAGTCTATGGTTTTTCCACATAGGGACTCGAGCTAGCAGACCATGAATAACTTTACACATCTCCTATTGTACGTACATTTATATACCTGTGCATGTGATTGATGTCCATACATGTACGTGTGCGTCTGCATGTGACGTGTGTGTTGGCAGGGCCCATTCCACGGAGCACGATCCCCTGCCAGGTGTGTGTCAGCGCATGCCTGTGTGTAAGCTTCATAAGGCCCTGCTGTGTGTTAAATATTGCTGCTGCCACTGCCTAATGACTGTGTGTGTGTGTGTGTCCGCACAGGGTTCAGAGTGGAATGCTTCTAACCTCAGTGAGCTCGAAGCCTTTGGGTGAGTCTGAGACAACTACATAAGTATATTACATGTATTTGTAATACAGTGTGTACGTAGGCGACTATTATTATAATATGTTCTCCAGGGTTGGATACATCCTGAACGTGACGAGAGAGATTGACAACTTTTATCCCGAGTCTTCAAGTACCTCAACATCAGGTTTGTATTGTGTGTGTGTGTGTGCTATGTATAAGGGATGAGCTACTAAAACTTGGAAATCACATGGGGAATACTGGAGTACGTCATTGTGTGTGATTTGGGGTTTTGTGCTTTGTTTCGCCTCTTCTTCTTTCGTTGTCATTCTTTCAACTCAAATATTCTGTGTTTGACTGGAGTGTGTGTGTGTGTGTGTGTGTGACGTGTGCAGGTTGTACGACGTTCCTGACAGTGAGCTGATCAAACACTGGGAGAAAACCTACAGATTCATCAAAGAAGCAAAGTACGTATGTTGTTTTCGCGCAAACCGACTGCCAATGCATGCCATTAACCCCACCTGTTCTGTCATGTTGGAAATGTTGTGGTTCAATGACTCACAATGCCACAGGTGGTAGTTGGCTCATCAGGGCTGGCACAAGTGCGCACCATGGGGAGATAGTCCCCCTATATTTTCATTTGCCCCGCTTCCCAATGGATACTTTGACCCCACATACATGTACATAGCAAATTTGCTGTTATGGATCTGTTGTTAGGGTGTGATTGTCTCGCCAGCAATAGGCTAGCTCTGTGCGCAGCAGTAGCCTGTGGTTTTTACGATGTGTGTAATGAGCTACTGTTGTGTCATGTTGTGTGTTGTAACCTAATGCAGAATGAGGGACACCAAAGTGCTTGTTCACTGCAAGATGGGAATCAGCAGATCTTCTGCCACCGTAAGTCAACCTGCTATTCCTTCATTCATTCTCAGCCTATGTATATATGTGTACCGGAATCTATACAGAAATCATGTGTAAAAATGCGCAAATGGAGATGTGTGCCCGAATGCACGTTACTATACAAGTTCCAGTCTTTGACTTGCGTTCTTTATAAATTGTGCGCTCTGTTTGATCGTAGATATCCTATATATGCTCTGTTGATCGTAGTATCCTATACATTGCTCTGTTGAGAGCAAACATTGTGGTAATATACGTAGGAGGCCGAGTTAACTAATCAATCTGTTTGTCTGTGTGGGGGTGCAGGTGATAGCGTACATGATGAAGGAGTATCAGATGCCACTGGCAGATGCCAAGAAAACACGTCAAGAGCATTCGTGGTTGCATCAACCCCAACGATGGTTTCATGAGTCAGCTCCACTCCTACGAGGGAATCCTCACTGCCAGGTTTGTATCTGTCTCACCCACACAGGCCTGGCAGGGTCACATCTACATTTTTTCATGATGCCCCGATGAATACATACGCAGCTTAAAACCATATTTGAGGGGTTGTCTTGCTTTGCCTTGCCTTTCTACCGCGATACCTCGTTGTTGACCACATACAAAGATTCCTTCCACCACAATTTCCACTCATGTGTTTTTGTTACTTCCTCTTTTCTTTTCTTCGTTACTCATGTGTATACTGTATCTTGTGAGCTTCAGTGTTTATGCGTGTAACATTGATCTTGACGGTTCCCCCCTGTCTCCCTGCAGACACAACCCTCGCTGGGGTAAATACGCCCCCACCCGACTCTACTCCAAACGCTCTGTCTCGGACCCGGACATCATGCAGTCGCTGGAGAAGGAGGAGCTGGAGCGACGTGTCTCCAGAAGCGCGGCAGCAAGGAGAGTGGGGCGGAGGGAGGGAAGGGATGGGGAGGAGGGGTGAGGGCGGAGGACAGAGAGTGGAGAGAGACGTTTCGTCACGCAACAACGTTCGATGCGAGTGCGACACAGCACTCATTCTGCAGCAGCAGACGGCTGTGCGATGAGCCGAACTAACCTTCCTGGCGGAAGGTGAGGTTACCGGGGTCCAACTGAGCCAGCAGGACACCAGCGGGACACAGTGGGATCGTGGTGCGCGGGTCCTCCCCGAGAGAGGCACGCTCGATTCACTCGCCGCCCGTCGACAAGCGAGAAATCTCCAACACTTCCTCGCCTCCCTGCCTGTGGTGCGTGGGAGTACGGACGACGGTATCGACACCATCCACGTCTAACTCCGGGTCGGCCTACTCCAGTCTACCATTATACACCCCTCCGACGAGGAGAGCATTCACATGCACATGGCCGCCAGCACCGGGAGCACGAGTCGCAGGGGCGGCGGGGACTCGGGCATTGGAAGCGTCGAGGACACTACACACGATGATAGAGGGAGGGTGCAGACAAAGGCGGTGGAAAAAGGCCCAGGATCGTATGGACAGAGAGCAACAAGTGAACCCAGCCCCTTCCTCCCTCTTTTGCGTCCTCCTCTCTCCAAGACTGTCACAACCACAAACGACAACATCAGATCCCTCCAGTGGTAGAGAACAACCAGTGGATATGACAGAGGTCATCAATAGTCCCGTTCGCCACAGCCATGTCGCTCATACGGTCTCCCCGATGGCCTCAGTGGGTACAGTGTTCGCGCTGAGGGCAGTTCTACTACTACCGCTGCTTACTGCTGCATGCTGCAAGAAGCTGCCTAGCTTGTCACCGACTAACGGCAGGGGGCTCTAAGGGTGTCTGGATTCATTCGACCGAGCAGCGGCCGTCACACCAGAGGATGCGGAGAGGGGAGAGAGGTGAGAAGGAGACAAGGTCTCCGTCTACCGGACCACTGCCGGAGACCTCGCGAAGTCCAGTCGGAGGGGAGAGACACTCGCGGGCAGTGGCGAGAGGACGTGGAGAGATGAGACTATCCTCTGGGGAATATGACACCTCGCACTAGGAAAAATTCATCCACACCGACGAAGCAAGTCAGACTCGCACCACGACGTTCGGGACCGATCAAGACGACGCAGATATCGAGCGTCCCGGAGAAGAGTGAAGGAGATAAGAGGAGAAGGGTCTTCAGGTGACGAGCACGCAGTCGCTCCAGTCCATCGTCCCTCAGGCCGACTCCCAGCCTCTTTCAGCCACTTCCTCAAACAGCCAGTCATCGTCCGAAGAGTGTCTGCCTCTCCGTTTACTGACGCAGGCACTGGGGACAGAGGCAAGTCATCCACTCTGCAAACACGTCCCTTGACCAGTTCTTCCAGAGTGACCGCAGACTCGATACCACGACACTCCTCACTCAGCCCCAGACCGTCTCTGTCGCCGTGTCGGTCATTCTCTCCCCATCTCTCCGTCCAAACCAGCTTCTCTCTCCCGTCCTCAGTCCCTTCTCCAAACACTGACACAGGCTCTTCCCCTCCTCCTCCCTCGCACCCCGCAGGACCCAGCCTCCCCACATCACTTCACGGGGTGGTCAAGGCCAAAATCCAGAACATCGAGGGTAGAGAAGGGGTCGGGACAGGCCTCGACTGGAGCCCAGCAGAGCCTCCTCGTTGGTGATGGCGTCGTCAAACGGTCGCTGGTTCAGAGCGGGCAGAGGCCGCAGAGCGAGATCATCTTTTACTCCCCCTATGTGGGGGTGGTGGAGGTGAACGACCCCAGTGGACTCAGAGACCTCGACCACCTCTTCCACCCAGGGAGCTGACGGAGGGAGTTTCGGCAGCGCTGGTTTGTCTTCAGCCTTTCAGACGCATCGTGGAACTTTTTCCAACATAGAAGCAGACATGAGGGAGGGGGAAAGGCAAGAAGGATGGGACGACGGAACACTGCCAGCGATATCTTCTCCAGTAGCAGCGAAGAGAACCAGGACTCGCACAGCGGCAAAGTGGTCCAGAGCGGGGCCGTGTTTTAACGCCTGGGTGGGGATAATCCCCAGGGAAGAAGCTCCAGGACAACGACCTGGCCAGCGTCTTGGAGCTGAGGACAGAAGTTTTGAGCGCAGGAGTCCCAAAGACCCAGGCCAGGAAACTCCAGACGTTGTCCAGTCTTCGGCGCTCTAACTCGCTCAGAGACACCCGACTTCCCTGCCGCCCATTCGACTCGGGGGTTCGGCCGCTGGAAAAAGTTCTCGTCCAACGCCAGTCTCCCTCGGTACGGGGAACGCCATCGCGAGAGTGGATCGCATCTGCCTCGCCCACTGCCAGTGGCAGCCAGCAGTCACTGACGTCATCTGGCAATGAAACAACAACTCGCAAACTTTTGTTTCCCTCTCCCTCCCTCCCTTCCTTTTAGATTGAAAATCTGGTGGTTTTTTGGATTTGCTTTCTATGTGTGAGCATGTGTCGCCGTCATTGTGTGCGTGTGTTTATCGATTTATATCTTGTGCTCAAAGCTGCTTTTTATCTCCGCTCTACCTGGAATCACTCAGCGGTTCTGTATTGTGTAGTATTTAATCTCAGTTTCCTTTTTCTGTTGTTGTATTATTGTGGCCGTCTGGCTGAAAGTGTGTATGTAATTAGGTCAAATTGTATTTTTTGCACCATTACATTAACGTCAGTCGTGCGCTGGCTCTTAAGAGTGAACTGTTACAGGTAGTCGCCCCACTTCCCACTGTACAATAGCAATGGCCGTGTGTGCACGATTTAAACATGTCAACAATGAGGTCACAGGGCATATTCTAACACGCTATTCCACCCTCTGACTATTTGAAGTATTTTCAATGGGTTTACTCTGCCATTATTTTTTTTACTCACGTGCCGGAAAATTTGTCAAAACCTTATTGAGGGTACAAGAGTATATAGTGGGTTAGGTGCAAGGACACCATACTCACGTATCCCCCTAGTTAGCCAAAACTCTCAGCAGGTTTCTAGCGGGTGAAAATGAAAATTGGATTACTATGTTGACAAGGAAATGCGGAAATAGTGAGGCAATGCTCAGTCTATCCTCAAAGAGAGTCACTTGGAAAGATGTCTAACGTTTTATGTCTTCTGCTCTTCTTGCACTCATAATTGGTAAGAATTGAACTATATATAGCTACTCACATTCACTTGCATTGCTAATTATAGTATGTTTGTGTAGCGAAAAACAGACCAGCATAATGTCTTGAAACGAAATTACTTGCTACCTATCACCCAGGTATCTATTGTTGTGAGGAATATGGGGTGGGAGAAGTGTCAGACTGCGCTGACGGTTTCCCCACTCTCTTCCACATTGACCGACTGGCAGGCAACATTGGCAACCTAGACACAAACGACAACGACAGAAGACAGGTCGTGATTCCAGACATAAACTTCGGCTGCAATGGAGCCATCACACGGTGGATAGTTGGTGCACAGTGGGAAGGAAGGAACAATAATAATATGGCCTTCAACACTGAGCTACAGATATGGAGGAAGATTAATCCAAACCAGTACATGAAGGTGATCGGTACCAGTTGTCTTTATTAGTGGAGAAAACGCCAGTCAAGTCTATGAGGTGGAGACTTTACTAGATTTCCAGGAGGGAGATGTTCTTGGTTTTTTTCAACCAAGAAGGTCTTCTATTGATATTCTTCTGGAAGATTCTGAGAGACTCATCACATACTACACCAGGCCACGGAACAATAATTCTCCTCACACCGGAGAAGTTTTTTCTATTGATGACGGAGATGTATTCGATAGCACCAGATACCCTTTAATTGCTGTGAGCACAGGTATATAGCTACAAAACTGCTGTGGTATATATATAGTTTTCATCCAGTGTTATTCATTGCAGATCCTCCTGATTGTGGTTGCGGCTTCATGTCAGTAGAGAGACTATATGCTCTACTAGGTATACCACCACTGAATGGGCTCAGGAGGGACTTCAGCGATCAACAGGTGATATTTCCCAGTATCAGATTCAGATGTACTGGAGAAGTAGTAAAGTGGATACTGGCAGGGAGATGGAACAGTTATAACGGTTCGCTCTTTCCAGAGCTTCAAGTCTGGAGATCCTCAGGGAACAGTACATTTGAAAAGCAGGGCAGTAGTGTTTATATCTGTTAGTCAGCAAGAGGGGGGTGGTGTGTATGAGTTTCCTGTAGCCCCTCCTCTTCAGTTCCAGCCAGGTGATATCCTGGGAATCATCCAGCCTTCTGGGGGTGACAGTAGACTACAAATCAGTTACGATGATGGGGGTCACTCTCCCAATTATGCTACCGTTTCGGATGACAACAATGAGTTCTTTAATGTCCAGGGAGAAGCTGTTACAACACTGATTAACATACCTCTTGTGACAGTTAAGATTGGTTAGCTTTTCCAATATTCTAATGTGTTGTTTGTCTGTGCCATAGCACAGAGTTTGGTTCCTTTTCATTGCGGACCTTGAACCCAGTCTGCTGGGCTGTCCTGGTAGCTCAGTGATAGAGCAAGCACTCATCTAGAGAACAGTGTCGTGCATTCGAGTACCACCTGTTTGATACATGCTTGCCTTGTGTTTACACCCCGTGATTCTTGTAGCTACGTGACATAATGTATCTTTTCTACAGTTGAGCATACAACGTGTTGTGGGAGCACAGGAAACTTCCAAACTTTCCACCTCAAACAAGATCCAAGAACACTATGTCAACAAAAACCTTGTCACTTTCAACTGCTAAAATCACAACACCTGGAGGAAGAAGCAGGCAACACTCGACCAGTCCAACAACTGCAAGAGAGCCACACTCTGCCATCAGAATCACACAAACAGAACCCATCTCCTCCATTAGGACAACAGTCTTAGACTCTGCGAAGAGAGGTGGCAGTGTTTCTCGAGGTGTCTTTGGAGTGGGTGTAGGAGTTTGCTGCAATTATAGTGGTGGTGATAATAGCTACTACAGCTCTCTCTGTGACAGTGTTTTTAAGACGAAGGTCAAAGAAGAGGCTATCGAACACAACCGATTCTGTGGCCTATAACTCAGCCAGTGGTCAGCTATCAATGACCAAATCCGGGACCTTAGCTGAGAAGTCTGAATATGTCTCCACCCACCAATCACACACCCCTACCATCAGCAGTGGAGGTGTGGTTAATGAAGACAATAGAGCAACATTGGGGGAAGACATGACGCAGAATGTGGCCTATGGTTATGTGGGTCGAAATGAGGTGGAGTGTAATGTGGCCTACAATGCCACAGCTACTACTACAGATAGTGAAGATGGAGTGGAATATATATAATTACATCACAAGAAACGATATCATCATTACGGCCACTCTTAACTCTCAGTGAGCCATATTGTTTTCAAACTTTACTTATCAACTAACTAGGTGTGTGGACACTTATAACGTGCATGTATGTACAGCAATTTTCATATCGGTCATTTAGAAGTGATTGTTTCGTGCTATAATATACTATTATGAGTGTCAAAAAAAATGATTGAGCAGCAGTAGCATTATGAGTTATGATGACTTGTGGGTCTTAAATGAGGTCCTTCTGAGTAGGTTCATGTTTGGCAGGCTTTTCCTCTTGTCCAAAGCCGTCTCCTGCACAGTGATCGAGTGTCATATATCATCACTAACATGTGAAGCGTTTTAGACATAATAGATCAGAGAGAGAGAGCATGTATATATGTGACAATTGGTATGAGAAAGACTCACAACAAGTGTAGGGAGTGCAGCGTTCCTGGCAGTGGCAGACCTGGTGACCAGGTGTTCCATGAGAACTCTGCTCAGCTCTGAATCCCTCTGACCACACGTCTCCTCCCACCTCTCCTCCTGCATTAACACTTGTGTCTTAGTGAACCCAAAACATGCCACATAGACCATACAGGGGAAAGTTTTAAGGGAAAAGTGTTCAGAATTTACACACTTTTTAGAGCAGGAACATTTGCATTGTGGGAGTAGTAATCCGCAAAGCGAAATATTTTCCCTTGAAGGTTACTTGCTGCAGTATACGATGTTGAATACGCCCACAGTTGAGTGGACTTACCAGCCAGGGGTGCTGGAGCATCTGTGTGGCCATGTACCGCTGGCATGGAGATACCACCAGCAGATGACACACAAAGTCCTGGACACCAGAAAGTATATGCAATCATAACTATGTCAGTGTTTCGTAACTGTGCATACCTTGGCTTTATCCGAGACATTGTCCCAGAATGGAGAGAGGAAGGCATACCTACCCTTCTGGATGTTGGACACTGTAGCTCTCTTACTGTTACTGTAGAATAGAATGAGAACCTCAATAGGTTACATAGTGTGTGGCCATGCACACTCATTACCTTCCAAATGGCATAATTCCAGAGAGAAGAGTGCAGCATACAACACCAGCAGCCCATACGTCCAGCTTGGTACCATAACTGTGCACAGTAAAAATCACAACCCCAGTCTTCATGAACAAAAACAACCATAATATGTGACGTCATAGCTACTAACCCAGTCTCGGCGATCATCTCGGGAGCCATGTAGAATATATTGCCACAGACGAGAGAAAAAGGTTCAGAGGCAGTAGCAGCCAATCCCATTCCTCCCAACTTCAAATTCCACCTCCCCTCTCCTGCCTGGTGCAGCTGTGTGGAGGGTGGAGGTAATTGAGAGCTTTTTGAGCATCTATGTAGCTTTACCATAATCTACGTAGCTATGCGACTTAATTATAGTTGAATACTCCCCACATACTCAAACTCACAAAGATGTTCTCCAGTTTGACATCTCTGTGTACTATCTTGTGGGCATGGAGGTAGACCAGGGCCATGCTCAGCTGCCTAATGGCGATAGTTGCGTCAGACTCACAGAAGTGCCGACAGTGCAGGACAGCATCAAATAGGTCAGTGCCCTGAGGAGATGGAGAGGGGGAAAAACAAAGGGAGAGAGGGGAGCAGAGAGAGGGGGGAGGGGGGAGATGTAGCATCTGTTCTATCACGTAAGGAGTGCATGCACGTGAAGATTTGGGAGAGTCAGGGGAAGAGATGATTAGAAAAAGAGATAGAATAATCACACGCAAGGCTGAGTGTGCCACACATAATTACTAGGGGTTTTCTAAACCTACCTCTACGTGCTCTGCGACCATGCAGATTTCATCGCAGCTCTCCCACCCATCAACCATCCGGACCAGGTTGTCGTGCTTCAGACCTCGCAGCAGCTCGCATTCCCTCATAACCAGGTCCTCGTGCCCAAACACCCCGGCCTTGTTGATGACTCTCAGGGAGTACTGCTGTCCAGTCACCTTGTGGTGGCAGTCCCTCACTACCACAGACCTCCCCTCCGCCACCACTGGACCCACTCTGTAGCTCTCCCTCTGAGACTGGCCGGCTGTGACACTGGTCTGTGTGTGAAACAGCGGATGGGTGGCCCTGGAAAGAAGTAAAGTTAGCTCTCTTGCAACCAGTGTGGGTGCGTATTATAATATACCTTCTCTTTCTGTGGCTCATTCCAAGGTGAGATGGCTGAAAATACAAAAATAAGAGAGAGCTTGTGTGAGTCGTAAGTCATATAGAGACAAACTATCATACACAAACCTGTTCAACTTCTTCAATGATAGCTGATAGTTTGTCCCCTACCACTGCATATAGAGAGGAGGCAGCATTCTCACAATTTGCATCGAGACTATGGGGAACATACATTCAGTCTGTATCCCAACTGTCCTTGACTTTGGTGGCTGAGAACTGTTTCTCGATGACGAAGACACAGAGTCCATACTACCTTCACACTTCTGTTCAGAAGATCATAATGGGAATACGGGGCTATTTGTGTGTTGTGTGGAGAGCTGACCTCTCTCGGCATTATCATCTCCACAAGGGAGCGAGGCTGGCTGAATGAGAGTTGCTCTGAGTCTGTGGACACAGTACAGATGGCCACTGGAAATGGAGTGACACGGGAGAGCAAAATGTTGTGTGTGTGACTCTCTCTCTACTATATAGTCTCCCAAGCCATTACTATTTTCTTATCGTGCAGGGGCCCTGCACAATAAGTAAATACGTATGCCCCGCGAGATTACTCTCTTACTTGAGGCCATGGAGAGTCTGATGTTGGTGGAGCTGTCAGATCCTGATGTGCTCATGCGGTCATATCATACTGTAGGCCAGTCTGTGGAGGTGCTGTACGGCAGGCCACTCTGTCCAACGGTTAGTGGAGAGCCTGAGCCCAGGAATGAGCCGTCTTCTGTCAGAGTGAGTAGTGAATTGGTTGGTTGGACCTCAGCCTCTCATTTCCAGGAGGCCAAGTCGAAGGTCCAGGCTCTGCTGCTGGATGGAGCACCACTGGCGTAGAGACTATGTTTGACATGTTTGTTTCTGAGATGTCGATCTTTGCTGCACTCTCCCCCTCTGCTCTTTCCCTCCAGACTCCGTTTTCCCCATCCCCCTCCTCTCTCTCTCCCTCTCCCTCCTCCCTCTCTCCTCTGAAGCAGTGTTGGTGTCCCTCATTGACCCTTTCACTTGGAGAATATGTTGTATCTCTTCTTCCTTGCCTCAGTTCCTGGTACTAGTGGCCCCTTGTTGTGTCCGGGAAGACCACTAGGCCTGTGGTCCGCTTGCTCATCTCCTGCTCCGGTTTTCTCTCCTTCCGTATTTTGTTGCTCAGTGATCATCTGCTGGCTGGCCCAAACACCACCGCCTGTGCAGCGAGACGTGTTTTTCATTTACCTCTGAGTGCATACACAGTCTGAGCATTCTTCATGCTATGCAAAACAGTCTAAAGGTATAATATTCACTGAATAGCACTGGCTATGAATAATGTATTGGTTGTATCTAACAGAGTTTCATTGCTCAGACAAATATAGGCAATTGGATTCCTTTTTACTGACATCCTCGTGCTACTTTGCAACTAACGCAAACAGACTGTTTACAAACACGAAAGGAATGCCAGGATTTTAATCACTATTGCCACACACAAGTACTTGCAGGTCCTGCAAACCGAGCCTTTAGAAACTAACCCCCTACTGTCATGGTGACAGGAATGAAATTGCGAAATGTTTTTTCACAAACACTCTAGTTTAACATGATGCCACGCACACCAGCAGACCACTTTCATAAAACACTTTTCACAAAAGATGCTCCACCAAAGCTTTTAGTCAACAAAACTGATAAACAAATTCAATCGTTTTATCGTGATCTATCGACCTAATGCAGCAGCTGCCAAAGAGGTTGTTTGAATAGACCAAAGCCAGTAAGGTGGCCTAAATATTTCGTACTTTTAGTGAGTACACAAATGGAAGGACAGGCAAACAAAACATCCTAAATACCTTGACTATAGCTGGAGAGTGCAGTGCAAGCCACCCTCAATAGTTACTGTTAAAAATGGGATGGCCTAGATTGTCTATGTATAAGGTGGCCTTAACTTTCGTAATTTAATGAGTACACAAACAGAAGGACAGGCTAACAAACCATCCTAAATACCTTGACTATAGCAGGAGAGTGCAGTGCAAGCTACCCTCAATAGTTACTGTTAAAATTGGGATGGCCTAGATTGTCTATGTATAAGGTGGCCTTAACTTTTCGTAATTTTAGTGAGTACACAAACAGAAGAACAGGCTAACAAACCATCCTAAATACGTTGACTATAGCAGGAGAGTGCAGTGCAAGCCACCCTCAATAGTTACTGTTAAAAAATTGGGTGGCCTAGATTTTGTATGTATAAGGTGGGCTACATTATTCGTACTTTTAGTGAGTACACAAACAGAAGGACAGGCCAACAAACCATCCTCAATACCTTGACTATAGCAGGAGATAGCAGTGCAAGCCACCCTCAATAGTTACTGTTCAAAATTGGGTGGCCTAGATTTGTATGACGTATAAGGTGGGCAAATTTTTTTTACTTTTAGTGAGTACACAAACAGAAAGACAGACTAACAAACCATCCTAAATGCCTTGACTATAGCAGAAGAGTGCAGTGCAAGCCACCCTCCATAGTTACTGTTAAAAATTGGGTGGCCTAGATTTTGTATGTATAAGGTGGGCAAAATGTTTCGTACTTTTAGTGAGTACACAAACAGAAGGACAGGCTAACAAACCATCCTAAATACCTTGACTATAGCAGGAGAGTGCAGTGCAAGCCACCCTCAATAGTTACTGTTAAAAATGGGATGGCCTAGATTTTGTATAAGGTGGGCCTATAAATTGTCGTACTTTTAGTGAGTACACAAACAGAAGGACAGGCAACAAACCATCCTAAATACCTTGACTGTAGCTGGAGAGTGCAGTGCAAGCCACCCTCAATGGAAAAATTGGGTGGCTAGATTTAGCCTCAGGCAGTGACGAAACATAGTTGCTTTGAGTCCTGACAAGCTCAGTCTCTAAGTCTACACGTATTGCAACAACATTCACTCTATACACTTACCTAGTGGTGTGGAGCCATCAATGCGTGAAGTATAAAGTCTCCATTGTCTGCAGCTATTAAGACTCTGTTAGTTGCCCAGAGCTGGACAGACTCTCAACTTCCACTCCGTCCACAGAGTAGAGTTTGGGGGACTCGGCTATTGTAGCCACGAGGCAGATTCTCACTGATGAGAGACCGGGCCTGCTCCCAGGACGAGACACCCTGCCGGTCGAGAAAGACTGGCACACCTTCCTGGGTGGTGCTCCGCTGCAGATGATTGGTGAACTGAGAGGGTTTGCAGAAGGCCAGGTTGAGTGATGGACGACTGCCTTTTTCTCTTGGAGGGGCTCGTGCTTGCTTCAGTGTGTCTCTCTCCCTCTGTGGACTGCTGCAGAGGAGGGAACGAGAGTTTTCTTGTGCACCCAGTCTTCCTCTTCCGCTCTCTAAAAGACATCACATCTTGGCTAGAGTTGATACTGACAGCCTCCCCTCTCTGGATTGAGAGAGGAGGTGGCAAGGGCTCCCCCGGCAGCCTGAACGCTCCTGCTGAGGTCCAGTAGCGTCCCAGTTTTACACCTTCGTACCAGAGTGCCAAGTGGGTGTTTTGGCCTTTGTGTAGCCAATTTCTTCTTGAAGGGTTCGGCGGAGGCGCACACGTAGACTCTCTGATGCTTGAACTGGTCGAGAGTGGTGACTCTGTGACCAGTCTCCGGCCGTGTATATGCTCCTGACTCCAGCTGGGAGGCCGATTGAGCGAGAGAGCTCGGAAAGCAGAACCTCCCAGTGTCTGAAGTTCCGCGAGGACACGTTTACCTTGAGTCCCTCGAAGAACTTGTCTCCGTTCTTCATGACGTGACCACCGCGGCTGGTAGAGCTCGCTGCGGTACGTGCTGATGACCGACTCTCGTCGCGCAGCTCGGGAGTCTGACATCTGTCGTGCCATTGGCGGCTGTGGGCCTTCCTTGAAACGGAGGATCCTCGGAGGAACACGGTTTCCTGTCTCCTAGGGAGGGCAGGCATCCCATGTGTCTTCTCGTTTCTGCATGGTGGGTGCACCGGTGGGCGACTCAGTAGAAGAGGGGTGGGGCTGGCAGAAAATATCCTTCTTTGTATCTTGTCGCTCCCATCCTTGAAGAAGCAGAAAGATCAGGGGCTAAGTTGAAGGAGAACAACTGGTTGCGTTTCTTTTATAACCGTAGGACTGCCGCTCGCTACAGCGAACAGAGCGGAGCTCGGTCCAGAAGAGCAGGGCGAGCCTCCCACGCACACTACCTTATACGTACGTTGATTGGCAGGGATTTACCTAATGGCTAAGACTTTCTGCGTGTGCTCTTGTTTCTTCACTCACAACGTATTCTTACAGCGATACGGGCTACACTGTGTCTTCCTAGACGACGATCAGTTCGGAGAGGACTACAGAGCGGTGAGCGAGCTCACTGCTGTAGCTAATGTCAAGCATTTCGTTTTGTGTTAGCTGCTGAGGGAGAAAGGATGTGCATCAGACCAGGAATACGACGAAGTGCTGAAAGAAGTAAGACCAGAGTGTGGCAATACTCCTGATAGTCTCGTGATAAAACCTTATTGTGTATGATAGTGTCGCTACAAGAGTGTGCAGTGTTAGGTTTTTCTGCCGAGAGTGGTGCACGTTCATTGATAATCCCTCCATCTGCTACGCTACATAGGTCACGGTGAGTGGAGAGAAGGCGGGAGAGCTCTGAAACGAGCAAACTGCGAGTACAGACCATACAGTTACACTACCAGAGACTCCATTCACAGATATACACCCTCTCTGTGTGTGCATAGGGTTCACATGAAACAAGATAATACCTCGATGTGACATTTTACAGGAACAGTTCTTAGATGGTCAGTTTCTTGAGATTGTCAAGTATTGCAGGAGTGATACTGCCACACCTGCTGGTCTCCTTGACATAATCACTGAGGAGAAGGTCGGTATTTTAGTACCGTCGTCGATATTTCACTGGTGCTGTATGTTTTTTGCAGTGCCAAATGTGTACTCGTTCCCAGTACTGACTGACAGTTCTGTGATCTTCTGTTACAAGACTTGGAGCATTTTGACAAGTCGAAGATGTCCAAAGGAAGACCAAACTCCATGAACAACTATGGGGTATGCCTAACCAGATCCATGTAAGCATGCTGTGGTTCGACTTTTTTGTAACTTAAACTCCTGAACATCAGAACCTCCGATGACGGCACTACGAATAAGGTTTCTCAATAAAGCACACACAGACTATTTATCCAGAGAGAAATACCAATAAAGGCCTTGTCCCAAAGTGTCCATTACTCAAAGTTCCACAGTGGTTGTATCAAAGGTTGTCGTGAACTATAATAATTATGCTGTTTTGTAGCAAAAGGCAGTTGTTGTCAGCTGACTGTGTATGTACAGATCCTGCTGTCAGACTGGGGTTTGACAGAGGTTTTCCTGGACCACCTGAGGGAGGACATACCTTACAACCGCTGGCCTCCCTCCTCTACCCAGAGTGGGTGGGGCCATCTGGACTGGACTCACACAGGGCCTTCAGTGTCTCCTACCAACTGGAGGGAGACACCCAGCTTTCCTACCACTTTGACAACGCAGAGGTGACACTCAACGTGTGTCTGGGGACCAGTTTCACTGGAGGAGAACTTAGTTTTGGACCCATGGCAGGGGTGAGTACTGGAGAACTTACCACTCTTCATGCTGAAGGTTTGGGCGTATGTTGACTATAAAGATGAAGACTATCCACTTTCAGGTGGTTCCATTAACCCTCGGTGCAGAGCTGCACATACGCAGCGAAGTAAAGTACTAGACTAGCAAGAGAGTAAATTGACCACGCATAGCCCAGCCTATCATTTAGTGGTACCACCCATGTGTATAGGTTCGACATTTCTAGTGTGCCGAGGGTTTGCACTTTGGTGCTTTTCATTGTAACAGGACATCCTCTTCCATGCAGGAGCCAGGGTCTCTATGGAAACAGAGATACACTCACAGACGAGGCCGGGGTCTGCTGCACAGAGGTAGACAGAGACACCAGGCTCACCCCATCACCAGTGGGAAAAGGGTTAACCTGATAATATGGATGAGGTCATCGAGTGTCAGGAACAGACAGTGTCCGATGTGTGGGGAGGAGCCGTCCCTGGTTACATGTGACGGCTACGGAGATGATTTACAAATCAACGACTAGTGATCGTGACACTCACAACTCTGTGTAGAACCTGTAATCAACCTGTGACTACTCTATGTCATCATTACCCTCATCATACATCATGACCTACATGTATAATGTAAGAGGTGCAGTTGATATCGCAAAATGAAGTAACCACAAGTGTTCACATGTGTTAGGCATCAGTGCCGTAGGTATCACACAGAACACAGGAAGAGAGGAGTGTGGGTGGAGTGTGCAGGGGAGGTAGGGGACAATACCCATGTATGTATTACAGTTTTACTTCATATATCATCATCAACACAGTCCACGCGGTATATATATACTCACTACTATGAACTCATGACTATTCATATCATGTGTACTGCAATGAGTTGGTTGAACTTAGCAGGTTGGGTTGTGAGTGGGGAGTAAGGTGTAGGGAGGGGCTGTAGCTGATACCACCTACAGTGATTCTAACCACAGCAGTCTAAGCCACAAACTGCTCGCGCTCGCTCGCCAAACACATTCCTCTAGTGTAGATGTGTTCTTACTTGGAGGGTATTTTTGGAAGGTGTGCTGTACACGCACGACGTTTGTACGTAGGCAGCCCCTGTGTCCACAAAATCACAACCGTAGCATACATACACACATTGCAACTATGTAGTGAGAGGAAGTGTGCGACAAGTACTTACGAACCCTTTCTAGAGCTGCCAGGGGCCGACATAATGAATGTTGTTATTGTGGAGAGAGCATGGGTTGGAGAGAAGGTGATCTCTGCCGACATGATTAATTATGACAACAGAAGTGCCTAATAGTGCCTGCTAATATAGTGGCACACAAACATCCATGCTGATAACACTATATGTAACATTATGTGGGCATCCATGAACATGACATTGGTTTGCTCTGGAAATGCATTTCAAAACAAAACATCTGGCTTTATTGATCATTCTAGTCTAGAGAGTGTTGGTGTGTGTGGTAATCTCTACTTAATATTCAGAGTCTAAATCTATTCTAAGTGTTCTGAGTGTAATTTCTCATCATTCCCCTAATGGGTGCAGACAGCACAGGTCACTTCTCTTCCTAGTAGCGTAGGAGGACAACTGAAACTGTTGCAGCTTGCCTCCACATGGTGGTGGAGAGCATGTTACTGTCTGCTCCGTTAAGTCCTGCAATCGACTCTGGAGAACCATCAAGGCATTCAAAGGTTATGGATGTAATGATGTGTACTCTGCCATGAGGTATCCAGTGTACTCTGTGGTCCAGTTGGTGGGGCAGCTCAGTTTGGCATGTATCATTAGTAGAGTGTTCTTGTAGAACGTGGCAGACTGCACAGGGTATGTTGTGGTTGTTTTGGTTTCGAAGCGGTTGCCCTGTGGTCATTCGAAGCTCAACTCCATTAAGTACCCCATTATTCACTCCATTTTCATATTCAGAGTATTCAGGGTCATCTGGTAGACAGAGAAGGTTGCTCCTCCTCCTCGCCTGTTGTGGGCGGTCCACCAGCTCTTCCAGAGTAGACTAGTGTTGTTCCCTGGTCAGAGGGACAGGAGGTCCTCCCCCTAGCGAATGTAGACTGTTCCTCCTTCCTGTTGCTGGACCTTTGGACCAGGTTCTCCTTTTGGTCCCCTTAATCCATCCCTCGTCTCTTCCGTCCCTTCCATCTCTCATTCACTTTGTCTCAGAACTCCACAGTTGGTTGACAAGTACTATTTGTCTGACCATAAGCTGTGAAGGAAATGACACATACAAAGCCAACTCTAGTTATTTGCAATCATACTGTACCTCGGCCTAGTAATAATAGACGCAAGATGCGTGCTATGCAGCTGAACCTTCATAACTACCATCATGTTTGCTTTGTGAAAAGATCCTCGCGTGTAGGATCTTCCTTCTAAGGGTCGTTTCTTTTATACTCTGACGTGGTAGGTCATGGCTTTGGCTGTGGTTAAACTGCTGCTGCAGGAGGTAATCAACTACGCTCCCCCCCTCACCCCCACAAATAAAACCATATTATTTTGACTCAATCTTAGTTGGTGGGTTATGAGTGGGGGTAGGTGTAGGGAGGGGGTAGCTTATGATCTAACCACAGCAGTCTAAGCCACGACCAATGCAATGGTCCTTGACATTGGAATGATTCTGTGTGCCTTCGAGCTGTGGTCTTACAGTGTGTACCATGTGTTTCTGTGAAATGAAGGGGATGCAGGGATGTCACGTCATGAAAAAGAAGGGAACAAGAAGATGCCTACACCGAGACAGAAAGACATTCACATCCCCATCCCTACATCTTTGTGTCTTACTAGCTAAAGTAGTTGTGCATTTATAGTTTGTATGCACATGCATTCATGACCAGCATAAGATTGAAACCACAAGATAATTGGGATGGTACTGTAATTGCTGGTACGGACAGCTTTTCTTCACCGGGTTAGCTACCTCAGATTATTATTCCGTGCATCTCACTCCCAATCTCACATCTGGTAGAGACCGAAAGAATGGTGAAGAGTGCATAATTAGAAAGAAAGGTAGAAAGAAAAATCAACTCTACTAGTGGGATTCGGACCCACAACCTTTTGCTTCCTGGGCAAGCACTACCACTGTGCAATGTGAAAACTAGAGTAGAAAGGCTAAGGCACTACAAACAAATCCACTCACACCCTTGACAGCTCTTTTTTTCCAAGGAAAACAATTGCAATACAATACCAACACTATAACAAGGCCAGGGCACTTCATATTACTACACCTGAATCTCAGAGAACATACGGAAACGTTAGCGATAGTGGCCCCCAGTTGACTTGTGTTGCTTTTACCACAGGGCATGATGACCAAGAACCCAGAGTGCCAGAAGGCTAAGATTTGAAGAACTGCAACTACTACGATTTACATGACTTTAAATGTCCAAAACACTATTTCATCGTCTGTTTATAAAGACTTTAGAGAGAGGACGTAGTAGGATAGTAACAATTGGCATAACAGTGTGCATAATCATTTGCCAATATGTCTGCCCTGCTGTATGTTCCGAACTAGAGTACAAGTATCCTACGCACTTCGTTCCTTTTGTGAATATGTTCATAGAGAAGTTTCATCATAGTCGAATGTAAGTCAAGTGTGAGCTATTATTTTTACATGGTTATGTCAAAGAGTTAATAGAGGTCTACTGTGCTCTTAAAGAATCGTGCATGTGGAGGATTTTCCTGTTGCTGTGTGAGCCACAGACTCAGTGGACACGGTCCCATCTCCTGAACCATCATCTGAGCCACCAGCAGACCTGGAGGCCTCATCAATGACATCATCATCACCACCGCCTGCAGCCTCCCCTGTCTCCTCCACTGTGTGGGAAGTCTTTTCTCTACCAGAGGTGCCACCAAAGTCAGTTGCTTCTGTTGCAGTAGCATCTACTTCTGGCTGTGGTACTGGTGAGGGTTGGTTCTTTTGAGACGAGTTGAAATGATTGGTCGATTTGTTGTTCTCATCATGTGGCAATAAGTCTGCCCTGCTATGGGGTGGAGTTGGGGCTGCCGAAGAAGAGCTGCCTGTCTTAAATTCGGGGAATCCCTTATATTTAGCTGACTGACGAGTGTATTGGGCTTGCTAAGATCAGACTGGTAGGCGGCGGTGGAAACCCAGCCTCCCTCGGTCCCATAGAGGATAATGTTGTTGTAGTTGACATCGCAGGCGAGGACTGGTTCATCTGTGTGGAGTACAGCGGTACACACGGGCATCATCGATAGTCCAGACCCTGATAGTCTGGTCCCTGGATCCAGTAACACATCGAGAGGAGTCAGGGAACACTCTCAGGCTGGTGATTGAGGCCGTGTGCCCTACCAGTGTGGCCATGAGAGTCCCGTGAGGGAGAGAGACTGCGTAGCCAAGACCTGTCCTGGAAACCACTCACCATGAACATGGAGTTGGGAGCGATACCAGTAGAGACTAGGTCGTCGCTGTGGCTCAGTGTGGAGACTACCACTTTGGCCGAGTGGAACTCTCGAATGCTGAGGCTCCCGTCGTGTGACGCCGACAGCATGAACTGATCCTTGCTCTGTGATATGAACGCCACCGTCAGAACACCTGATGTGTGCTCCGAGAACAACCGTAGTTTCTTGCCGGTTTCGATGCTCCAAAAAGCCACCTCTCCATCCTCCGCCCCTGTCATTAGCAGGTCTTTAGTACCCGTGATGGCCATACAGTTGATAGAACTATTGTTCTCTTCAAACTTTGTCATGATCTCTCCAGTTTCTTTTCTCCGTTCCAGAGGCAAAGTGTGCCATCTTTCGAGGCGGAGAACAACTTGTTTCCATCCTTGTACACCAAGACTTGTGTAACAGCTGCTGAATGAGGTTTTAGGCGCCGAATAGGGGACATTGCCTCCGTATCAAATACGCAGATACTCCCAGTGTGGCTGGTGCTGACTCCCAGGCCGCCACAGCCAGAGAGCGCGACAGTAGAGATGTCCTCCCCTGGGTGGAGTCGTGTGGTGTGCTGGACGGGAGGTGAGAGGCTGTCCCAGACTGTCAGGGAAGGGCTGGAGGACCCGGTGATTGCTAGTCTCCCAGAGTCAGCCATGACTGTGCAGTATATGTCGGATGAGTGTGGTGGGAGGTCGTAGAGATGAGTACCAGTCTTCAGGTCCCACATCCCAGCCTCCCTGAGGGAAGTATATACACAGCGTTTCCTTTATGATGGTCACCAAAAGTATTAGGTACCGAAATAGCAGTCTTGCTAATTCATAGATTCATGCATCCCCAGGAGTGAGCACACCTAGCTTTAAGACCACTAGGCATAAAACCTAAACTGGGAATCAATACAGTCAGTACATCTCTAATGGGTCAAAGCCAATTTGTTGGCAAGTGCTAAATTTTTAAACACTAAAGTGTTTGCCGACCTTTGTCCATTGGCTACGATTAGCCTGCCGTTGGTTCCAATGCTGATACTGCTGATGCCTTCACTACTATCCCTGGTTAGAGAATGGAGGAGGTCAAAGTTACTGAAATCCCACACCTTGACTTCACCACCGGCCGACCCTGACACCAGATGGCAATGCCTGTAGAGATAGGGGGAGAGAGAAAAGCGCCAACTTTCAATGTGTTTTATGTAGGCTAGTTGATGTGCATTGAAACTTATGATGGGGCTTTTGATACTAAATAATATTGTGGATGAGAGTTTCCTATTATGGGAATCTAACCCTGGCCACCCGGATGATGAGAACTGGAATCCTAACCACTATAGGCATAAACAGACTCATCGCTATCAGCAAAACTAGAGGACTTACCCTTCAACTCTCCTCTGTAGCCAGTGCTGTCACGGCTCGATCGTGACCTTTGAACTGCTCTCATCACCTGTCCTGAGACGATGTGCAAGAGGGATATCTTGCCATTGCTGGTCCCAACTGCCAGTGAACTGCTCTCAGAACAGCAGCCAGCCACTGGCCTCTTGAGGTCTCGATGGGTGTAGATCAGTTTGACCACGGGAACTACAGGCACAAAGAGAATTTGGAAATTACACGATTGTAACATCTGTATGCAGGCAACAACATAATGTGCGTCCATTTTCTGTATCGCGCACATACCCTGCTGTTAATAGTAATACTTGCTACGCCTTCTGGAGAGTTAGTATCTTCCGTTTTTGTCCGTAACTGGTCCTTGCATACCATACCTGTGTGCACATGACTGTTTACTGATGTCGGCTGACCTGCTGTTTGAGTCAGTATTCCAGACCTTGACAGTGGCATCAGAGGATGCAGAGATAGTGTTGACCCATCTCTGGTCACTGCCACTGCTGTCACTGCCGCAGTGTGTCCCCTCATGCACATGTACACACTCTGCACGGCCACACTCCAATACCTGCGAATGTTAATAACATTGTTCATAGAAACTACGCAGGTCTGGTCAACAAGGGCCTCTTTTGTTACTTTGCTAGTAGAAAGAGTCATATGTATCCAGAGTGCATACGTAGCGCTCTAAAACCGTGTTCGTGCTGAGTGCTACTACTGCTCCCGCAGTCAGGTCGCTGCCTCCATCCGATTCTCTTTTAAGAATATGACCTCACTAACTGCACAACTACTACAACAGTTTAGTAGACATGTGCTAGAGCGCACATGCTAGCTACTACATGTATAATAAAATGAGTGCATGTGTACAAGAGCAAAGTTCAGTGTGCCCAGTGTTTATCAGATTTACACAAATTTTCCCAGCCCATACCATACGTAACACATAGGGTAAAAGAGAATACTTCCACAACGATACAGGGTGATAGTAACAATATGTGTGTGTAATGCATACCTGACAGACTTGTCATCAGAGCCCGAGACAGCATAACGTCCCATTGGCAGAGAGAGCGAGGGATAACACTCTGTCCGAGTGGCCGTCAAATGTCTTAAGAACCCCACTTGTGCCAGGTCCCAGCTCTTGAGAGTCTTGTCCCACGATCCGTCATAATGACCAGGGACATCCCCTCCTGTGATCACTCCCCCTCCCTTCACCAGTACAGTGGAGACACAGGAGGACTCTGTCGCGGTGACGTCCATACTGAGGCAGGTGTGGGCCACCAGGGATGTGGGATAGAGGGTGGAGAGGAGTGAGGGAGGGGACCTGTCCTCCACTGCTGCCACCACCAGCTTCTTCAGTACTGGACTGGCGGTACGGACAGCGGACATTGGGTGTAACTGACACAACATTGGGTATATTAAAGCACATACCTATCAAACGAAACGTGTGTGTTGCCTGATAATGCACCAAAGTGTATGCATACAACTAATGCAAAATTCAGTTGTGTAAGACTGTAGTTGGTGGTTATAATGTCTTTCATTCTTTCTGACCAGTTAATCGTAGTGCATATTCTGTGAATATTTTGGGTTATTATACATGCACAAATCGTTCGTACAGTAATTAGCACACTCTGATGTCTTGGGAATGCATGAAATAATTCTTACTGTGTTACTCGCAAAACAATTCAAATGATGTGGTAATAGCTATTGTTGTTAAGGGGGAACACTCAAAAGTTGTTGTTCATTACTCAACATTGCTTAAGGAACTTACTAGTGGTCACGAGCTGGTGCTTTGATGTAAGGTAGGAGTCTGCCAACTAGCTGGGCACACAGCTGAGAGCTTGTCTGCATTCAGTCACAGTTGTAGAGTACATCAGAGTCTGCCGAACAGCGCAGTCATGGTCAACATCTGTGTTAGTCCTGTATGAAGTGGAGAGATTTCTACAACTTTTCAGTCCAAATTTGCCTCAACGTAATGTTCCCCCTATATGCTTTCACCCTCCTCACGTTACTTGTTTAACATTGGAATTTCCCTCAGCTGTTCATGCATATAAACGGACCTATACAGTTGTCGACACAACTACGTTGAAGGTGACTGCTGTATGTTTGACAAACCATGCACTATCTGGTCACTAAAGATTAAACTCCTTGAAAAATTATCCTTCTAGTGCGGCGCTGGCTCTGATGGTGGGGGCATCTCCACGCTACCACCATAACATTTCGTTGTGTATGGACAAATAAGGAAAGTAAGCTACGTCACCCTGCCATGGAAGGATGGCAGACTGCCAATCCGGGACCGTGGGATATGCGGGAGGTGAAGTCGTGGATCGCGAGATCCCAGGAGGACAGGAGAGGACGCAGGCATTGAGCCACTGGTAGTCCAGCACAGAGCTCTGTGAGGCCGGAATTGGTGGGGTGTGAGGCAAACCGACCACTCCTGGCCAGGACGTGAGGCAGCTCCGAGAGTTGCGGATGTTGTACTGCCCCGGCCCTCGTTCAGGAGCAGTGCTGGGTGTTGACTGCATAGAGTGCCTCCAGGGAATCTGAGAGTAAAAATATTTCACAGCATATCATTGGTGCATGAGATCAAGGACTATTACTTACCACTTTTATCGTCTGATTCTGGATCCCTTTTCTCTGAGCTTGTGCCAGAAGTAATCAGCCAGCATTCCATACACCTTCTGCATGAGCAAGGGGGCATTATTATGAGTCAGGATAAATGGCAAGGAGGGAACAGCTTCATCTACTTTTGAAAGCGCTACATTGCCTTCACAGCAGATGATGGTGATACCTGAGAGGTATGGCTGGGGCAGTATCGTGTCTCGGCCACTCTCTCAGTCTCCGGTGACTCCACTGCAGCACCAGAGAGTGATCCACACCAACTCTGTAGGTCAGTAGAGGCCTGAGACTGAGGCTCAGCTGAGTCCACATGACAGGCGGGAGAAAGATCAGTCGGCAGAACCTTCACCGCCAAACCCATTTCACCTCTGACGTTACCTAAAACACACGATATTATAGTTCAGTGTCCAGTTACTCTGTGGCTGTGTGTAGCTGGAGCTAATACCTCTGTGTCAAGTGCAAGGATGTCCAGATCTCGGGCTCTGTCAGTCCTGTTTCGATGCTGATACATAGGCCAAGAGGCGACTGACCAACACCACCCCATACTTCTCCTCCAACTCCACCAAATATCTCTCTATTAGGCTGCATTGAGAGAGGTGTTGCGCTTAGTGAAAAAGTCAAGAGAAAATATTTCACGGGCTCAGTCTACACAAATTATACCATGTTTGTAAATGAGAGACCTCTTATCAACTTGTAAATGAGAGACTGAGGGAATGTGAAAGTCTAAAATTAACTGCCACATTTAATTGTGTGTCTATGAGTAGCCACATACAGATCACATACGTACATTGGTATACCGGTTTTCCGTCAATAGAAGATGGAATCGGGTCTGTTATAATGGAGAAAGACTTCCAGTCCCTGAGCGTTTTCATCATCAACTGGAGGAAGAGTGGCACTGGGCACTGCTGTAAGCAGCCACTGCCTTCTTCATCTGCTCCGAGTTCAATGTTCTCTCCTCAAGTGACAGACTGTGGCACAGTATTTGCTGGCAATCTTCATATGACAACTGAGGAACCTGTAGTAATAATAGTGTAATTGCTTCATACAAAACACACACAATAGTACATACAATGTGTTTGTTTTCCGCAAAATCGAGAATGTACAATACTCCAGGATAAATAAGAAAATAGGAGCCCCTGAGTAGGAGTAAAAAAAAAACACATGTAATACAAATAAACAAAAAACCAAAAAAAAAACAAAAAAAAAAAAGTAAAAAAAAAAAAAAAAAAAAAAAAAAAAAAAAAAAAAAAAAAAAAAAAAAAAAAAAAAAAAAACAAAACATTTAGTCAGAGTAAGTAAAAAACAAAAAAAGAAACAAAAAAAAAAAAAAAAAAAACCATACAGGGTTATAAACCGTATTTCCACATTGTTCTTGTACCTGGACCAGGCTTGTGGGATGTTTAGCCAGCAGATCTCTGGTAGGACGGGAAGACCTTGTTGGTTAATTTGGCTCAGATGAGCTGGAGAGAACCAGCTTCACGTGAGGTGGGAGTGTGCGTGGTGAGCACGACAGTCCCCCGGCCCCATCATTCAGGAGAGAGCTAGAGAGCTGGGACTCCGTCCAGGAGCAGTAGTAGAGCGGTCTCTCTTCACTTGCACACTCCAGACACTGACAAAACATCCCATTCACTCCCTGGTAGTCACCTGGGATGACACCTCTCATCTCATACACTCTGCTATCTGAGACTGAGAGAAAGCACAGAGAAAGCATAGATTACAACATCTGTGAGCTATAATTTTAATACTGTAGTAGACTGCAGTGATCACTGCAGTACTTATGTTAATCTAAATGAGTTAAGTTTTAGACCCACGGACCTGCTGTCTGTATACTTCTAAGTGTGTGAATATGGTTGAAGAGAGTGGGGAGTCAGTCCCAGGTAATCGCAACACAATGCCATTTAACGCCAGGGTTTCTCCTCTCTCAGACGGTAAGCGGATGCAGCGCCATCAGTGAGGTCTTGCCATGACAGTAGGGCCGTGTACCATAGAGGATGTGTAGCTGACTCTTCATGTAGGACTCATCTGCTCCGGATACTCTGGGACGACGATCCTGTATGTACAAAGGAGGATGTATTTTTCTGCATGTGCGGTGGTCTCTAGGAACTGTTTTAGTTGATTGGTTAGTTTACAGGACACGAGTTCATTTTGCTGTGACCACCTGAAAAACTACAGTGTGGGAATGCTATTCATGTAGTGCTGGCCTTATTCACTTTAACCAAGTGGAGTTATGCAGTGCCCCTGGCAGTGAAGGCTCATGAGTGAGGACACCTCTGGTAGTTGGGATGGGAGGTCTCTCTGCCCACCATGTCTGCAGCCTGTGAGATCTGCTGCTCGAGGCTCGACCTCCCCTCTCTCACACATCTCAGTGAGGTATTCTTGTTGGGGCTGGCAAGTAAGAGGGTCAGACCTTTCCCTCGCTCCCACTTGATTGGAAAACTCAAAGATATTGCTGGCATCAGAGATGCATGTTACAAAAAATAGTCTAACATTCACCATGCTACTAGCTCTGGAGTCGATGAGAGATCTTACCAGACAGTAAAACTCATCTAGCTATAGTCGTACATATACACACAGCCAGGACTTAGGCATTTTCACACACAGTATGACACGTCTGGTTCTGGAGCCTCTTACCAGCGCTGTACTTTTGCAGGCATCTTTGCCTCTTTCAAGTAGGTTAGAGACTGAGAGCCTCATGTGTCAAATTCCGGTCCTCTGCGACCGCCACAGCGCGCACAAAACAGCTCCAGGGGGCTCTCCGGCAGGCGCGCTGCTCCAGCAGGTGTAGTGAGGTCCTCTTGCTCCACAGACAGCACTGGTTCGGATCAGCTCTCAGTTGAATATGCCTGCAGTCACTGTCGCTTCGACAGATGCTGTGCATAGATACAACCATCGGTTTGGTATACCATTACTCGTCAGGTATGGGACGATAAACATTGAGAACGACTTCTTTACTGCACTATCGTACTGACATGATATAGCTTCTGGGCTCTGCTTGTGCCATCGACGCCGAGAGCAGCTTAGCAGCTTGTCCTAGAGTGGCGAGAGGTACCCATTCTGTGTATTGACCCAGTCTTCATTGCTGATGGCATGCACCACTACTATGAGACTGTGGAAGATATATAGAAGAGAAGCCTACACACTGAACCATCTGAATAAGGGACACCGCGAGGACATCAAAGCAATTTATCAGAGGTGTCCTCACTCGGTAGCTAGAGAAGCTAGTGTCCTTTACGGAGGGTCCTTGGTCAGAGGATCGCATTGTTAGCCTGCACCAGTTCTGTGGGGCCTGGAGGAGGAGTGAGTTCGGAGTGAGGAGGACTTGTGCACTTAGGACTCCAAATCGGGCTACCACTGCTCTGCCACCAGCTGCCTCTCGTCAGCAGAGGTCGCGCATGGAACCCCACAGCAAGGAGCGTATTCCTCCTCGGGGATGAGTGGGAGGGAAGAGGCTTGTGTCCATAACTTCGGTGTCCCAGCAGACAGGACTCTGAGCAGAGTCGAGTATATAGAGCATGCAGTGCAGTACGAGGTAGGGATGCTTGACTACTGAGGTTGGCCAGCTGACATGTCCGGCAGGTGCGTATCTCACTCGAGAGCCAACGAACAACAGCCTCTAAGCTCAAGGCCACACACAACTATGACCTCGCTCCATCACCGTCCCACTCTTCCTTCCATTGCCTGTCCAGTCAATCGGTTCTCGCGCCTCTCTCCATTCTCGTTCACACAGCTCCTCGTTGCTATCCTCTACTCTCCCCTGCTGGCTACAGGAGTGCAGCAACCACCCAGCAGGGAGCGCTATGTCATAGAGACTCAACTACGTGATGCTGTCGCGATGCAGACAGCTGCTGAAGCGCACTGAACGAGCCGGAGAATGCGTGGAAAAACTTCTGCTGTCAGCATTCGTTTCTCTCGTGACTGTGTGTCTGCCTGTGAATGTGGTAGGTATGGTCGGACCATGTGCATGGCAAGTGATATATACACAGCACATTCTAAAGTTGTGTAGTATACCTGTATATCATGATTGATGATAGGGTGGCATCAGAGCTGATGCACTGGACCACGGTTTGGAAGATCCGTGCGGCTGAGGGTGTCCCGGTCGAGAGTACGTCCATCACTCGCTCCGATCTGTAAGAGAGTGGGGTGGAGGCTGCGAAGAAGCTATAGTCGATATATTGCGATCGAGCTAGCTAGTACACCGATCAGCCTATTTCGCTGCTGAGCTATCTGAGAGGCTCATAGTATGAATAATACACCCACTAAACTAGACTGAGGTGCTGCTGCATCATGAGTCTGCGAGGACAGCTCCGATCTTTCTGTTTTACGATAGCTACTATTCGAGCCCCTCCCACTATGCTGTGGTGCGCAATACTCGAATACGCATCCGACGGTCATGCAAGTGTAAGTTTCTTTGTCTCTGTACAGGGCAACGTGTATTTGGTTGTGTTCTTTCGTCAACAGATCAAGGATAACGCTGGGATGCTCTCTAACTTCGAGGTAAGCCTCACGCACACCCTTAGAGCTTTAGTCTCAGCATAGTTACAGCTTCTTGATCTGAATTTTTGCTGCAGGTCTTAGATTTTCTCTCCGAGTCCCAGCAAAAATCTCAGGAAAAGACCCAACGGACGAGGCAAACTGGCCACCGTCACTTACGAGGTGAGGAGAACCCATGACACTGGCCTGCATAGCGTAATCGTTTTTTCCTCAGAGCTACAGAATATGCTCTCAAGGACGCCGGCTGCTGTCCAGGCTCATACCGGGTTTGGTGTAGTATTTGCATGTTTTATTTTCATTCTTGCTGCTCAGAATCAACATGTATGAGAATTTCTTGAAGGCAATTGCACATCAATCATCACAACGTAGTTACTTAGACAGATACGTCAGTTGTAATTGAGCACATGTACCAAATGTCATATTCAGAGCTAGAAAAGTTCTTGCAACTAGTGAATCTCAGAGGCCGATTGTCTCAAGTGAGTTGCAGTTGGTGAGCTGATCTAATTTTCAATTTATCCAGTTTTATGTACTGTTGTTTTTATGCAGATAATAGAGAGATGATGAGCGTTTTTCAGACAATAAAATTGAAGAGATTTTGGGAATAGTTTCTTCCGAGCTTCCACCTTCTTCACTAATGACGAAAACCCTGTTGGTTCAGATCACCAATAAACTTATGACATCCCATTTGGCGTTCGCGCGCGCGATAAGCAAAAATGGGCGTGGCTCACTACGCGCACGCGCTTTTCTCACGATATGGCAGAGAAGGTCGAGTGTGACTGTGGACGATAAGATCAGGTGTTTGCAGCATGTTTCTGGCATAGTCGCCCCATTAGGGGGGGCCCTGACTCGGGGCGCCCTAATGCATGTATGTTTCACGCCATTTAACCCCTGTTTATGCTAAGCGTGACGTGGACCCTTGGTCTTGGTGTAGTAGGCTCTACCAGCCTCGTCCGGAACCTACTGCACGTCTCACGACCCACAATGTCGAATGCACTGTCTGTATGACGATGCGTGATACTGTCTTCCAGTATTCCGGGAGAGGCGGACGTGCAGGGCCAAGAGTGATCTCGACTCTAATACAATCAGTGTCACAGGATAGATCTACACAGCCTCTCACACTTCACTGCTGTGTGTAATATACCCCTATCATAACACCTGACGTCAGTGCGGTTGACAGACTACACGAGCAATTTGGTGTGTTATCTCGGTGTACGACGTCAGGAGATTTCATCTCATTCAGATTTCGTGGCAACATAAGTAGTCTCAAGCCAAGTGGGAGCTCTGATAACTTGTACTGGTATCAGAGGTGTCTAGATTTGCCGAGATGAAGATGAGTCGCATTTGGCGCTATGAGGATGCCTCTGCAGAAGAGAAATTTCCCGCCGTCCATCATAGCCTTCTCAACAAAAGGTTTTATCCATTCCGAAACGGTACGGTTGGCTTTTCTCTCGATTCCATCAAATACAGCATCGACTTCTCGAGAATGGTTGTAGTTCAGGAGGGTTGTGAGCTGTTTGGTAAGATTGACAACGAGCCTCCTGTCTGGCGGTATAGCGACAGTGCCAGCGTGACGAGTGCAGCAAGCCCCACGTTCAGTCGAGCGTTTGACGCAGTCACGAGCCAGGAGATAGACCTCGCGGTCCACTATGGAGCACCGGGGCTCCTGCAGCTTGGGGAGAGCCAGGTGAGTTTTGACACACTCTCTAACCCCATGGTTTTACACGACTTCACCAACGGATCCAGGTGGTTCCTGTGTCGAAACCCACCTCTTTCAGAATCAAGGGATTGCATGCTAACTCTTGCAGTTCGCTGCAGGAGGGTTGATTGGCCTCAGATCGAACTTGCCCTGAGCACACTACTCGAGAACCAAGTGACCAGGCAGATATACTCCATGCCCCCTAATATCGCCGAATCTTTGGAGTGTCTTCTCGTGAACATAGCCAGACAGTTTTGCATAAAAACCCGAGTTGTTGTGGACTTAACCAGTCCTGGGACACTCGGTACTCCTCCTGGAGCTCCTACACGCCACTTACAACTGGAGGGAGAGAGGGAGTACACATTTGCAGTCAAGGTCCATCTCTTGGAGGTCTTCCAACAGAAGATAGCTCCATTGGCTATGGAGATGCCTCTTGCCCTACCTCAGCACTGGAAACAGGGACAGAGGTCACCCGTCCTGACCGTAGCTGTCCAGTGGGAACTGAAGAGTGGAGAGAACTGGAAGATTTGTTGAGGCAGAGTCTGCGCACGTGTTCGACTGGTAGAGGATAACGCGTATCCAGAACCTCCTGCTCTGGAAACGCTACAGTTTCTCTCAAGTCTCTCATGAGCCGAAAAAACGGCAGCGATAAAAGTCAACGAGAGACTTCTTTTTCACGGGACAAGAGCGACTGATCCGCCAGTATCATCACGTCGGAGAAGGGTTTGATTTCCGATTTGGATCGGAAGACTGTCTGTGGGCAAAGGGACTTACTTTGCAGTCAAGGCAAGCTACTGCGATAGCCGGTTTGCCTTCCACACTCCCCGGGGCAACAGGCAGGTGTTTGTTGCGCGTGTGCTCACTGGGAGGAGTGTCCACCTGCCTAAACCTAACAGAGCACTGAAGGCACCACCGAGACTTCCCGACTCCCCCACTGATTCATATGACAGTGTGAATGGTGTTGTAGAGAACCCACTGCGTAGTCAAGTGTATGTCGTTTACGACCACGACAAGGCATACCCAGCATACCTGATTACATACAGTTAATTCCTATTTTTCTCCTGTTTGTCATTATTGCAGTTGACATGTTTTTTTATCACTAACTTAGTAAAATTATAACCCTGAAATTGGGTATGAGCGATTTCTCGTGTGGAGAATTAAATGCACATAATAAATTATGATGCTTTTGAGAATAATATAAGTGACTTTGGCTTAGTTTGCAAGATTTTGCTAGCCGTTCTCGCCGAGTTTGGAGCCGTTTTGTACGCGGATCATGTGAGATTTGCCAACCCTACACATAGAAATCCCAGCGCCCAGTGCTCTAGATGTGCAATCAATGGAGTATGGTTGAGTATTATCAGTTGCATTGTTGATCCTTTATCAGAAGCACTATGGCATACAATGGTATAATTACGAAGTTGCATTATGAATCCTTAATTACAATAAGCAGTCATCTGATTCGTTCATTAGTTTAGGTTTGCCAGGTCCAAAGCCGAGTCTCTAAAGCCTCCATCTGAAAATATCGGCCCCAGCTGTTGATAGTGTGACCTCTTCCCTCTCTTCTTCCTCGTCCTCAGCTCGAATCCTGGCTCTGTGCCACAGAGGATATCGCTCCTCTTCCTCTATCTCTGGTGGCTCTGGCCTCCTTCCAGTCCGAGCCTTCCTTACTTTGTACCAGACGTGTCCTACACAGATTCCAAGAAACACAAGGAAACAGATCCCAATAAGTATCGTATAAACATAGCCAAGAGCTCCAATTCCAGTGCCAATGCTTGAGACATAGAGATTTGAGGAGGAGAACATCAACAGGATCGAGAGGTGGAACACCTCTAGTCCATTCAGTAGCCTGTTCTTGTAAGGTTTGATGGCTGTAGTGAGAGCTAGCAGGGCAGAGAAGGAGAGAACGAGAAGAAGGAGACTCAGTTGAGGACCAGCCACTGTGTTGGTGTTGGCAAGGCTGGAGAATAGGACTATGAGAACAACCCTCACTAGCAGCAGCATTCCCGTCCAGTAGCGACAACTGTCTTTGTACGGACCCATGTATGCATCAAACAGAGGCTTGAACCTGTTGTACAGAGAGGACACCCGCCTGAACCTCGACCTCTGTATCCAGGGAGCAGCAGTCAAAGTGACTGTATAGGGTACTCCAAAGAGCAGGAGCACGAACAGTGCTACTAGAAAGAGAACGGTGTGTTTGGGTTCAAAGTATTTGATATTACCGTCGGCCAGCCACACCACACTATGGTAGCCTTGTGACCCCGTGATTGTAGTGAAGGAGAAAGCTGTGATGAGGATTCTCAGGATCTTGGCATAGGAGAGAAGGATAAGAGTTGCCATGACTGAGACCGTATTGGTCCCGAGGAGCCAAGTGACTCGTGTAGAGTGATTGCTGGCAACGATCATGGCACCAACCAATGTCAATATGTAGAGAGGAAACGCAAACTGAAGCCATGTTTTGAAGTAGGTTGTAGTCCATCGAAGAAGCACACAGGGGATGCCTAGATCTAGATTTAGCCACGATATGAATACACTAAGGAATGTAGTTAGGACACTGGTGCGACAGGCACTTGGTGGTAGAAATGTGGCTCTGTTGGCTTGCAAGATGTTGGCCAAGAGAATGAGTCCATTCAGAGTACCAACTGACACCGTCATGTTCAGTAGGGTCAGCAGGATAACGAGAGCCACACCCACCAGAATGAAGATGCCGATGGACAGGAGGTAGACATTGGAGCAGATCTTACACTCTGAGGATCCCAGGATCGTGCTGAGGCCTTCACGACAGCTACCACACAGGACTCCTGATCGGTGGTACTGGCACTGTTGTGTGTTGCGAAAATTACCACAGGTATAACAGGCTTGAGCGTATATAGCGATGTCGACTCTTCCATCTACAAGGATGTTAAGGTCTGTTGATTTGCAGTAATCAAAGGGGCACTGAGGATGGATGAGAATGGAGGAGTTTTTATTGTTGGGTAGTCCAATCCAGTAGGGGGCACGTCTCAGGATGAATGCACCATTGGAGAAGTAGCAAGTGTCAATGTTGTTGTCCAGCAGTATTTGGTGACAGACACAGGAGCCTCTCAAAAGTTGGAAACCAACTGGGCAGGGCGAAAAGCAACTTCTAAAAACACAGGGATGTGAAGAAAGAGTTTGAACAAATGATATCTTATTAAATCGGACAGGAAGTTGATCTTGCACACTCCGCAATGCCGCAAAGGTATCATCTATAGAATAAAGGAAGGACTCAGGGTCTACAGCAAAGGCAAGAACTTCTCTGTCTTTCTCAGACGTAGCAAAGTACTCCATATCCTGGCATTCCCTTCCTCTTATCTCCTTGGAATATGCCCACTCACCAAGTACATTTGGCTCAGTGGTGTATCCTCACTTGCGTTGTTCCTGAATTATCACTGATCCGGCACAGTACCAGACCATATCCCACTATTGCTAGAGAGAGATTAAATCTCTCCAGGGTAGTGTATATGACCATTAAAGGAAATATGGCAGTTTGAACACCATTAAAACAGAAGCAGACTGGTGGGCGTCAGAAGTGAAACTGGAGAGATCTGAAGAGTCGTTCAACTCATGTATTGGAAAATTTCAGTGACATTAGGGATATGCACTCACAGTGATTGACTATGCAACTGGAGTATAACCTCCGTATATGGCATTGCCAGCTACACCTGCCCTTGTTCTGGGTGAAAGTTAGTGAGAACAACGGACATGCAGAAGGATTATCCTGAAAAGGATGAGGGATCGACTCGTAATGAGCATGAGACCAACCATTGCCGTTGAAACCACAAAACTGTATCTGGTCGCATATCAGAGATGTATATCGCTCCACCAACTTTGCGCTGATTCCTGATAAAGTCCACGGAAGCATTGGAGCAAATGGACATGACGAGGACACTGAGTATTCACTGCTCCTCCGTAGAACCATGATTATCTGAAAACGTGGC